TTTAAGATTCTCTTTTCGTGAAATAACTTAACATTCAAGTTATGGTTAAAAATTTAATGTGTCTTCAAAAACGTGATTTTTCTCTTAATATTTATGTTTGATTCACTCTTTAAATATATACATAAATTTTTTCTCTGCATAAATCTTGATATACTCTTATAATTAGAAATTTCAATAAATTATTTTTCATTTATTATATATATATATATATTTTATGAGCAATTATTCTTTTTGTTTTATAATAATAATAATAATCATAATAATCAAACTGATGTTTTTCATCAAAAAAAAGTGCATAAATGTCTAAAATGCATTTTGTAAACAATGTTCATTATACAACAGTTAAAATTTTATATATCATTTATGTTGATACTATTGATATATAAATCATATTATGCTTTTATATATCGTAAATATTAAATAAAATTAACTTATTTTAGTTTAACTCCAATTATATTCACTCCTCTTATAGCAACAAATAAAACAATTATATTAAGAAAAATGTAACAAACCATAACTAAAAGTATATATTATTTCAATGTGTTTTTAATAATAAACATAATGTCAACTCATTAGTTATTATAAAACCATAAACAATATAAAAGACATTAAAATAATAAATAATTTAAATTTTGAGGATTTTAAAATAAAAAATAATAAACATTTTTAGAGTAATTATTTAAATTGAAAAATCAAAAATAGACAATTTAAATAAAGCAAACATTAATTTAAATATAAAAAGTATTATTAATATTATATGAAAAAGAATAGGAAAAATTATTTTCTTGTTTGAGATAAACTGATTAATTGGTTAAATATATGAAATATTGCATAGATATTGATTATTACAGTACTCCTTAATATTAATAGTTACAATCATTACAAGCATTCAAATGAGAAAATCTATGGTCTCATAATATTATAGTATGAATATGTCATATATTAGTTATAGTGTACTAAATAATAATGGTTTTATGGTAGAGTATGAGCGCCATAAATGACAAGTGAATGACTGATTTTCAGTTATGTTTTTATATTAACGCTACGAATGTTATATATATATATATATATATATATATATTATAAATGTTATTATATAATAAATATTATTCATAACATGATATAATGCAAATTACCTGTTTTCCTCTTATATAAGTATATATACGTATAATACATATAATATACATACATATTTACATTTTGATAATAATAGATATATTCATTATTATAAATATGTTCAATAAGTTTTTTGGTGAGCGATAAATAGATAGTGAGAAAAAATGTATTTCGAAAGTTATTGTATTGTATTTACAATAAAAATGAGTTGACATATATGTTAAATGTGAAATTAATAAACAATTTATTATTTTTCATGTTTTAATTAATATAAGTGTATAAATTATAATCAGATTTTAATTTATGTTAACATATATATATATACCTTTTTTAAATTAATTAGTTGTAATTTATATAATAAAAATTTATATTTAACATTTATATATATATATGTAATTTATTTATATCAATAGCATATAGCTCTACCATATAAAATCCGGTCACTTTGTGTTTTTCACGAAAACATTTTATTACAACTTATTGCTGTTTTCAATAATTATATGCTTTCTTTTTAAATATTAGTATTCAAATTGTTTTTATTATCCATAAAAAGCTATTTTTAATAATATAAAATAAATTCAAAAATTTTTGACATTAAATTATTTTATATATATAATAAATATCACACCTAAAATATTGATTAAAATAAAATGATTAAAACATTTATTGTTGTTATAATTATAAGATTTTGTCGATCAATAATATGAGCAGTTAATAGCAACCGAATCAATTATAAATATACGTGTATTTAATATTATAAATCCAAGTTAGGAAGACAATGTTAATTATAACAATATATAATATAATTCATAATTAATATTTCTATAACTATATTATCGTAAATGAGAGTACAAATTCTTAATATAATAAACCCTGTAAAATGCATACAAATTTTGATAAAATTCCTAACCATTTGCACAAATATTAAATAGATTAAATTATTTTAATATATTATTTCATAAAGTATTGAAATAAAAAAAACAAATAGAAATATCTAAAAAATGCTAAAATAAATTTATTAATTTAAGTAAATTACAATACTACATATGTATATATAGTATTTCATGCAATAATTTTACAATACTTTTCTCATATAATGTATCCAATGATTAAAAAAATTAATACAGACACTTAAAGTGATTTTTAACAATAGATATAATTCAATAAAAGAAAAAAATAATAATATAAATATTTAAAACTAAATTGCATGTTTCAGTTATTTGTGTTAATCTATTAACATTTGCAATAATGTATACATGTAATGACTAAAAATATGTAACAATATTGAGCCTTATGTGTGTTTAGGTTAAATTAAATTAAAATTTAAAAAAATCAACTATTACATTATAAAATAAATGTAATTAATATAACACTTATTATAGCTGTATCTGTATTTTTTAAATCATAAAGAGGACGACATAAAACATAAGACATTATAACAATATATTATATTTTTTAACTTTTCTTTAAACTATATATTTAAAAATCTATTAATAAATTTTGTTTTTGTTTAACTAGAAATTTAATCTTTGGGCGCAAAATATTTTTATTATCAATCCATATATCAATTCTGAATATTCATCTAACTATTTCTTAGGCATAATATACTGTAAATATTAAAAATTATAAATAACAAACAAATATTTGACTCTCATTTAATTATGATTTAAAACTCGATTGAATAAGTTTCTAATATAATGTTGTATTTAATATTTATTACTAAATTTGTCTCAACTTTCCTCATTTGACAAACAATTTAAATCACAATTTTAATGGCGAAACACTTATTCATTATGTAATAATATTTATTATGAAAATAATGTATTATTATATAATAAACTAATAAAATTGTAACTCTGAAGTGCTTTCATTTGCCAAAAACAATTTGAATACAACACTAATTTATAAATATAATCTTATATATTATAATAAAATTAATATTAATAATAGAAAACAGCAAATTGTTTGCTATTTGTGTCATGTTTAGCATTTGTTTATATTGGATAATACAATATAATATAGTATAATCTAATAATTACATTATATATTGTTTTTATCTTTCGTTTCAACAAGAAATACAAAACATTTTTAAAGGCATTACTTCACATTTTAATTTAATATTTAATTAAATTTATTTTAAATATTTTTGTGAGATTTTTTTTTAATTAAAATAAAAAGATAAAAGAAATATAAGTTTAGTAGATAAACATATACTGTTATTACTGCCAAAAAAACATAACACAAGTTTCCTTCAGATGTAGTTTATTTGTGTGTCTTTCAGTATTCATTGAAATTATTTTACATATAATAATAATAATAAATTTGAGGCATTAATATGATTCAATGATTTGTATGCTTCATAAATGGGATGATCACATGTAAACAATTTAATTGAATTTTTAGTCTTTTAATATCCAATTAAATTCAAATTTCCAATATTACTAATATAAAATATTTACATTATAAAATTTTTATAATATAATTTTTATAATTAAATGATCAATGGTTATTATTTAATAATATTAATACATATATTGCAGATTTTTTATATATATATATATATATATATATATATATATATAATTAGCCAAATTTGAAATAATTAATGGCTGTACATCGTTTTCATATAAAATATTATTAAATAATTTTTGTGAATCCAATTTAAAAATTATCCTAATTATTGATAAAACTGGCCGTTTTAGTGCATCAATATGGCCACTATTGTTCAATTATTGTAAAGTATAAGATGAGTGAAAATGGACATAAAGTAGAGTGACCCAGAACAATTTCTTATAAAACAATGTTTTTACAAGTAATTGTGATCAGTTATTTCATTTAACAAGTTTTATCAATTAATTAATAACATATACTTAATAAAAACAATTTTAGCTACAAACCATAGTTGAGAAAAGTTTAGACAAATTTAATGTCCACACAAATTTCAAAGTTTTAACTTACAATCTATAAAAATTACTTTATTAAGCACTAATTTAGCTTTATTTAAATTCAGATTAATTTAGATTCATTGACAATATAAATTAGCTTAATAAAAATCATTGACAAATCATTAGATTACATTATATATATATATATATATATATTTTATATAGATATAATTTGCGGCTTATTTTGGAGTCGTTGTTAAATTTATCTTATAATAATTGTAATAAATGTTAATGTTTTAATTTGCTTTTATAAACATAAACATAGATTCATTATTGATTTTAAAACAAATTATATTGCTTATGGTTTGTGTTTGTTCGCATATATTTTTAAAAATCAAAATAAAACAAATATATATATATAATATAATATATATATATATATATATTATAGAATAATTTGTTGTATGCAAAATATTTTATAACAAGTTATATTTTGAGGATATTATTCACATTAAAATTATTAATTTAATGTCAATATCTGTCTTAGATTAATAAACACAAACTCAGATTATTTTATTTTATAATATTATAGAGTATATTATAATAAAGTATATTCTGTATAGTTGTGTATAGTATAGTATATGTGACTTATTGTGGTCACCAATCAATTCAAGTTAAATATCACTCTCATTAACATTTAATAAAGCAATTGAAAGTGTTTATAATTGTGTTGACTTATCTGTATATTCTTAATACAGTATATTATATAGAATGGAAACATTATAAAAAATGTAATACAAATACAGTCAGATAATGAGCAGTTTATAGAGATATTGAGAAAATTTAGATATTATTATATTAAAATTCATTATTGTCTTATTAAATGGCATCTTATGAATTAAAAAATTAATTTAAATAAAAACAATATTAAACACAAATACACATGAAATTCATGTTGTATTTTATAGTAACTTAAAGCATAATTATAAATTGTTGTGTGGACTTTCATTTATCATTCAAAATGTTTTTATTTTATATATTAATTGCATTCAATATTATTGAGATAAATGTAGAGTCGATAGAATTATAAGTTGTTATTAATGTTTGTCATTATATCAATAGTAGTTGTGGTGATCTATCAATAATAGAGGTAATAGTAGGGAATAAATGGTATTTTTGAGGCGATTTAAGCACCAAAAGACACACAATGTATTGATATTTATATCAAAAATAGAAAGACAAAGAACTGAGAGGACACACACATATGATTTGACGATAGAGAGAGAGAATATGTTTTGCAAATCATATATTTATCAGCAATTAATTGCATTGAAAGACCGTATGGCCATTGAGTGAAGAGATGGTTAGTTGTCATCATATACTGGTCTCATGTATTCTGTTGGGTTCGGCTAAGAGATGATATCCCTGTACTAAAGGGTTATTAAGAGCTGCTGCTTGTCTCGCGGCCGTCGATGGCGCCATATGTCTCTGATTGGGACCTGAATTAAGACCAAAAAGTGAGTCGTGTTTTGGTCCAAATCATAGTTTATGACAGAGAGAGACATTAGCTATGAAGAAGACTACCTGAAGTTTGGTTGTATTGCAGATTAGTGGCGATTGGATGCAAACTAGCGAACGGTGCGCTCCGCGAGCGTTCCATTTGAGGTTCTTTAGTCAATAGGGGAGCCGTTTCTCCCAGTCCTGGCACCGATGCAGGAGTGCCCGTTAAGTTGAGCGACTGCTGGTGCCGGTATGCGGCCTTCGAGGCAGTGTTAGTGTGGGCTATAATGTTACCATAACTGGGCAATACTGGGTTCTTAGGGCCGGTTGTGTCACATGGATAGTCATTAGGGGAGGGAGCACTCACTTCTTCATCTATATAACTGATATCAGAGAGAGGTCGGGGGCCCGGAAGGCTACGGGAGGTTCGCAAACTGTGTAAGCTATGAACGCTACGTCTCTCCTCCATATCTTCCAGAGTGCTCCTAAAGGCTCTCACAACTCGCAACTGTCATAACAAATATATAAAACACAACTATCTGTAGTGTTTGGCATACAAACAACAATTCATTATCTATTAATTGTATTTTTGTTTGCCTTTCAATAATTACTCTATAGTTTTATAAATAACATTATTTAAGTTATTGAATTATAAATTACATTTAAATGAAAAATAATAATTAATAAAAACATATATATTATTTCTAATAAAACTTATTATAGCATTTATATATTAAAAATATAACATTTTGCTAATATTGGTCATAATTACTAATAATTTTAGACTATTTAATAGTATTTGGGATTTAAAGTATTTCATTTTCTATTTATCCATAAACTTAACAATGATAAAAATGCTTATACATTCAAAATAATAACCAAGATAATTATTTTATATAAAATAAGCAATTAATTAAGTTGTGACCAACAACAAAAATAATAACAAATGTTAAATTTTTATTATATCAATGACAGCAACACCTACATCATAATCATAACTTTAATTTGAATTATTATAGTAATTGTGCATAACATGAGTGAAATAGAGAAGGGGTTATAAAATATAGGGATAGGAAACACCTTCTGCTATGTTTTGATCATTTCCCTAAAAAATGACATTCATATATGATATATGAGTTATCATACTATCATTAATAACTCCACCCTAACCTTTAACCTTTTAAATGACCCAATTATTGCAGTACTATATTATTGCCCGTAAAAATCAATACCAAATTGTGTGCTATATAGCGAAAAATGGCAATTGTGTTTCTAAATGCAGTTAAATTACTAATTATATATATATTTTTTGAATTCAATATGAAAGTCCAAACAATAGTCAATTCAAATAAAATATTCTATTTTAATAATATTAAAGTGGTTTAAATATTTTTATATTAATAATTAATAACTTATTTACCAATATATTCTAAAAATTATAATTTTAGAATTGTGCTTTAAGAAATTTTCAATTATAATAATATAACAAAAATTAATATTAATAAATATTATACATTAATACAAGACATTTATAACTAAAATTTAAAAATAAATTTGTAATTAATATTTATAATTAAAAAATAAATTTCAAGAATTAAAGATATTTAATAAACTATAAAATTTATAATATAATACTAAATAATATTCAATAAAAATTATATAATTAATATATTGCTTGATAAAATAGTTAATATGCTGTATAATTTAACAAATAATTATCAAAAATTAATATGTAAATTTTAATCAAATTTAATTAGTAATTATTATGCTATTAAATTTCCTAAACATCTCAAAAACTGCTCACTGTGTTTGTGTAATACGGTATATGTATTGTATTTATAATTGTTTATATAATTAATATAATAAATTAATATCAAACTTATGTATGAAACTTATAAGTTAGACATTTAAGTTGCGGACACACTTATAGGTATTACGAAAAGTCATATCTCTTGAGTTTGTCGATTATTTGGAGGAAAAGTAATCAAATGGTTATGCATTTACAGTGTAGTGTCAAGTGATTGATGTGTGAGGTGTTGTGTGCAAACTAACGGTACAAAAGAAAGTGAGGATTAGACTTATATGTGCTTTGATTAACAAAAGTGCAATCATTTCTAACAACGCATTGCTTATCTAACTTAAAGGGTGCACACAATCGCAAATGCAATTTAGTGTATAACCGGTGTATAACCAGTGTCTAACAGTACACTAACAGTGTATACAAACCAAACAAAATGATAGACACATACACTTTCAAGTGCTTTATTGGACCGATTGGACCAATTGGAGAGTGTTGTTGTTTGGCGACTGACACACCAATTGATTGGTTACCACAATATAACTCATCAAACAATATCATACAGAATATTCTGTATAAATGTGTTTGTGTTTAATAATCTTGTTAAATAAATTATATCATTAAATGTATTATCTAGATATATGAATATTAGAGATATACTTAGCTTAAAATGATAAAACAATAAAACACAAACTTGACTTATCAATAAATCTATCAATTTTAATAAAACTAATAATAACTTAATAAACTAATAATTACTAATAATAAAGACTAATAATTATTATTAAATGACTAAAAATAGTATTAAAAAAGTTATAGATTAAAGTGTGACAAATAGTTTATGATAATAAATGATTATAAATATTGATAATAATGGTTGATTTAATCTCTAAAACTCATATATCCCGGTGCTATGTTAATCTCAAAACAATATTATTTAGCATACAACAAATTATGTACATACAACAAATTACAGCAATTGTGTAATAGGTTTAACGATTAAATTGTAAAATTAATTATTATAAGTTTAACATAAGTTTGTTTTGTTGTGTATTTGTATGTAAATTGAAACATGAATATCTAGAATATCTAATTAATAAATCAATTTCTAATTAAATGCATTAACACTAGAGATAATTCGATTGCCATAAATGTATAATTTTTAATTTGTCTTAAATACATATATTTAATATTTTTATAATTTTATTGTCTTATTTATTAAATAATTTTATATTTACGGAGAAAGATCTATCAACTATGATAATAATTAGTATAATTAATTGGGTTTACGGGCAATGAATTTGTGAATTTAAACTTTATAATTTTATAATATCAATAATAACACTCTAATTATATTGTATTAACAATTATTTGTAATAAATCTCTTCGTATTAATAAATTCGTTGCAATTAAAGACTTTGATTCACAAATTAGTTATTTCGCCCATAAATTGATAATCATTTTTTTAAATGTAATTAATGTTTTAAATTTATATATATATATTTTATAGAATTTGTAAATAATATATATTTATATATAGATGTATATATATATATATAAATATAAATAAATGAAATGTTCAAAACAGAGCACAAGAGAAATATAGATAGAATTAATTATAATTATAAAATGTTAGTTATAATTATAATAATAATAATGATAATAATAAATACTAGAATAAAACAAAATTTTGATAATTAAATAAATAGTTTTTAAGTGTAAGATAATTAATGACATAATAGAAATGAATGAAAATGTATATAATGTATAATAATATTTAATAGTAATAATAAGTGCCTATTTGTTAAGTGTTAGAGATGTAGTGGCTGTAGCACTGGTAGGAGATGTCGGCGAACCTAAGCTCTGCCGTTTCAAAGTCAACTGTTGTGCCTGTTGTTGTGAGATAGTGGTGCTATGTAACTGTATGAGACATACCTGTGTCTGGAGTCTGGTCAGGCCCCTAATCCACAGTATCTGTCCCGTACGTTTCACGTCCTGACTCAATGAGCCACTACTCCCGTCCTCGACGAGACTGGACGTGGCGTCCATGAGTTCTTCGGGTGGACCGGAGCCCCAACTGAATTGCTTGGGTATTCGTTTCGTTGGTATCGTTGTTATTAGTTGTCCCCATACGAGAACACCGGCGCCGAATAAGACACACCACATCCACTGGTCTACAGTTAGCGCTGCCGTATTAAAAGGTCGACCGCCATACTGTACTATTACTACCTATATTATCCAAATTATATATCCATATATTATTAATTTGAATTTAACATTTCAGGTATCAAATACCTGAGCAATTGCGGTGACAATTAGTATTCCATAGAATATAGGATTACTGAATAAACCCTCAAAAATGTTTCTCTCGCCATGAATTTTACGTGAATTTACTTCATTAAACAGTGTCATCATTACAAATGTGTTAAATATTATAGTAAAGTGTTGTGACGGAAACGAATTGATTGAGGCGTACAGACCGGAGTCGATATCAAAAAATTTGTCACCTTTTGGGACATCATATCATATAATTAATAAATATTAAACTTATTGTTTGTGTTGTTAAATGCAATATTAACAGTATTATATGTATGTATGTATGTATTACCTCCAAACAAAAGGAAAAATATAACAACCAATTGATAAATTGCATGTCCGATAATATTCTTCATCATTGTTCTCGATATCAGTGGTTTCGTACGGCCGTATGGTTTACGTATTAACAGCGATGAGGTCGGCATCTCTGTTGCCAAGGCTAGTGAGGCTAATGTGTCCATTATTAGGTTAACCCAAAGCATTTGAACTGCTTTTAATGGACTGTCCTATAAGTTGACCAATCATTTTGTGTCATATCAATGAAACAATATATAAGAAAATAAAAAGAAAACAAATAGCTTTAATATGAATTCCTTATAAGAATTTAGTGATATATAGAGTAAGAGTAGGTTATAGCAAATAGTATGGCTTATTGTTAGACAAAATGGCTATAAATAGTAACGCATGTATGAAATGATATGTCAAACCTCTATAGCACAGGCGCCGACAAACGCCACAATAACGGCCACAACATTGACTGTGAGCTGAAATTGCAAGAACTTAGCGATCGAGTCATAGACATTACGGCCCCACATAACAGCCTTTACAATACTAGAGAAGTTATCATCAGTCAGTATAATATCTGAAGCTTCTTTGGCCACATCGGTGCCCGCAATGCCCATCGCAAAGCCCACATCAGCCTTCTTGAGCGCCGGTCCATCATTAGTGCCGTCACCCGTTACTGCCACCACTTCACGATTGGGGTTCAGTTTGCTTTCAATAATATGTTTAACTAACACATATTTATCGCTGGGTGAGGATCGGGCTAACACTCTAAGTCGTGGCCAAACTTTATCGAAAAGTTCCTGTTTGACCTCTCCAGAGGAACTTCTAATTCGTTTATTGAACTCTTTACCGTCTAAGACAATAAAGTCTTCGCCCGGCTTTATAATACCACATTTCGTTGCTATAGAACGGGCTGTATTGACATTATCTCCCGTCACCATTCGTACAGTTATGCCTGCCCTCTGACATTTGCGTATTGCTTCGGGAACCTAATTATTCATACAATTTGTCAATATTTTATATAATTAATTCAATCATTTTAATGCTAATCATAGTAATTAAATGTACCCAAAAATATTTAAGAGCTTATTAGATTACTTTTCAAATAAAAATAATTTAGTTTAATACAAGCTATTTAATTTTCATCAAATATTTACTAAAATATATAAATATTTAATAAAATTCATACTCAACAATTGAGCCCATAAATTGTTACATAAATTGTACAATATTTTATGGTTCATAATATAAATGGCCACAAAAATTTTATCTTTTCTTATATTAATAATAATAACAATAATAATAGTTTTTATATAGTATAGTATATTTACTATACTTAATAATAAACTAATAGATTGCAATTATTAGATAATAAAAATATTAAAAACATTGTCATTATGTTACTTGTTATACAATGTTATCAATAAAAGATTTTAACTATAAATGTTATTTTAATCAGATTTAACGCAAACTAAATGTTATAAATATTTGATGAAAATATTAGTATTCATCAAAATAATAAACTTAGAAATCAATGCTCTCTCTCTCTCTATCTATTGATTTTCTATCTCAATCATTGCTAGTTATTATTATATACTATAGTATATCTAAATTTTTATAGCATGTATTGTGCTTTCAAATATCACACAAAATTGCTTCAAAATAAACTTTCATTTTTAAAATATACCAAAAGGTTCACTACACATGACATATGCAAAACATTGCACCTAAAAATACATTTTATTTGATATTTAAATTTTCAATACTCAACTACTATTAAAATTAGATTATTGACAAATGAGTGTTTGTATTAGTTTGAATACAGTATACACTATAAATGTATGATAACAACACAATTTAAAATTTATACTATTTAAGTGTTTTTATGAGAAATGAATTGCTAAATAAAAACGTGTGACACAAGAAATTGTGTAAACAAATTGTTTGGCAATTATTTATAGTATGTTTTGAAGTGTAATATATAGAAAAAGCCAATGAATACTAATATTAAACATATTATATATATATATATATAAACCATAATCGAGAATAACGTGAGAATTAGTTAAAGAATTTAGAGTCAGAATTGAGTGAAGCGTAACATCTCATTAAACAATGAATACAACTTCTCTATTGATATCCAACTAAAAAAGCCATTCAATAGCGTTAAATGAAAATTTTATGATTTATTAAGTAATCAATACAAGTAAAACACTTTTTAAACAATATTAATATGGATAACACTTACAATATGTATGATATAACAACCATTTCATTCAGCATTATATAGCAAACAATATATATATATATATAWATTTATATATAACTTATAATTAATACAATAGTTTATTTTCAATAATTGTCTATTATTTATTCGTTTCTTATTATTTTAAATATAAGCTATTAGTGAGTATTTTTAATAATTTCCACACTAAACTGTTATTTAATATAACTAACTATAAAATATAAAAATATGATTATCTATCTTAAATAACATTAAAAAATATAATATAACATTTTAAGAAATTTTGGTGCATTTATATACAGTATATTAACATCCCTATCTACTCTATATATTAACATATATAAGTAAACTGTTGTGTAGTCATAAATGTTTTTTATAAACGACTATTCATTATATTTTTATAAAGACAAGTATAAAATCATAATACTTATAACTTAAATAATAAGATATTTATTTTGATTATCTATAAAAAGATCATATCTAGAATACGATTCTAAAGTATAGTTTTCATGTAAAATATTGTATTATGATATATAGCAAAAGTGGTTCATTGAGTTCAGCTAAATCTCTCTCTCTCTCTCTCTCTCATTGTTTGTATATATTATATATTGTAAAAATGGTTATATGCTTATGAGTCAAGAGCCACTCCCAATAAATTGTTTTATCATCGGTTAAATTCACATTAAAATATGAATTTGAAAAAACATTTCAAAACATAATAGTTAAGAGAAAAAACAGAAATTCAAGTAATATCTAATGTTTTAGACTATTCATAATGACATACAATAACAAGCGATGCACTCATTGTAAAGATAGGATCAATAGAGCAATCACTTTATCGATATATTTCAAGTCATAATATGTGCAATGAAACCATATTCAGACACAACTCACAGAATTAGTGCTCCTTTACTTTGAAATTTTTTCACTGTATTTACTATACTGTATATCAATCTATAAGCTAAATGCAGTATTGTGTGTATGTATGTATGTGTGTGTGTGTGTGTGTGTGTGTGTGTGTGTGTGTGTGTGTGTGTGTGTGTGTGTTTGTAGTTAAAAAATGAAAAATTTGTTAAAATTGTATGCAAAATGTATTGTGAGTTAAGAGACGGAGAGTATAATCGGAAATTGATGGCTAAATCCATCAATACTTTTTAAGACGTATTATATCGATATCTAAATCATTGAATAACTTTAAGTGAATACATTTTTCTAAACCACAATAAGATACTTAAATCTTTACAAAAAACTACCAAAAAATAGAAATCTTTTTTAAAAAATACTAATATATAACAATTCAAAAGTAAATTGCCTTAAATTGAATTTGAAGTAAATTTGAGTACAAAATACAATTGCATTTGAGGTTTAAAAAACAATAAAATTTATATATGAGTCAATTGAGTGCAATGATACGTACCTCAGGTCTAACGGGATCTTCAATACCGACGATACAGAGACAGGTGAGTCGTGCAATGATAGCCTCCTCGTCCTCCCAATTGGGTTCCGCTTCCATTTGAATTTCATTAGGAGAGTTGGGTTTGCGTCGCACATAATCCTTATATGCTATACATATAGTTCTTAATCCATCGGAAGCCATGGGTTCGATGACATTCTTGACGAGTTTCTCCTGTTCTTCTTTTGGGAACCGGAGAAGTGTTCCGTCTTTGCCATAAATAAACATACACTTCTTCATAACCATTTCAGATGCACCCTAAAGTAATGGCAATAAAAATAAAAAATCAATAATCGTTATGTAAAGCAATTCTAGCGCTGCAAATGGTGGCAAACCTTCGTAAGGACACGAAAGCCTTCGTTATTGTTTATTGGTATTACTGTAGACATAGATTTGCGGACAGAATTAAATGTATAGACTTTATGCAACTTGTCTTCAGGCATAGCATTCCGTATTTGTTGATAGTCTTTGCCTAAGTCTGCCACAAACCCCAATAACGCACATTCGGTTTTGTTGCCAACTTGTTTGGGATTATCTCCTGGATTATCGGGGAGCTGTCCAATGTTACACAAAAATTCATTATTATTATAGTATTTATAAGTTAAATAAATATATATATATATATATCACTGTTTGCTTACCATAATACGTGTAGTGTAAGCACTATTAAGAGAAATGGCGTCCACAAGAACGGGAGCCACTGATGAAGGAAGTGATTCAAATTTGGGTGAATTTTTAAAATGAACGCCACATATAAAACTCTGTACTACAGTCATCCTATTGGTAGTCAACGTTCCCGTCTTATCTGAACAAATAGCCGTTGCATTTCCCATTGTCTCACACGCGTCCAAATGGCGGACCAAATTGTTATCAAGCATCATTTTCTAATAATTATACCAATGTACATTTTTACTATTAATTAACTATTTTTATTAATATTTATTTATTACTTTTATACTAAACTAATTACTGTGCTTTATATAAATGTATTCAAATTATAATATTTGTTCAATAAGTTAATGTTTTTTTTGCTAATATGTTTACCAAAATATTCTATTTATTATTAAATTAATATATATTTATTAAATTTATACTAAATACATGTTTTACTGTTATGATTCATTATAACTTATAAACTATTAATAATCTAATCAACAATTTATCCACTTATAGTAACAATTGTGTTATAATTGATAAATTAATTCATAAAACAATCAAATAATGTTATTATGCTATCTTAAGTACATAAATACGGTATACAATATTTTTATAAGTTATAAGTTGAAAACATAAATAAAAAGTGATAATTCAATTGTCAAACATAAAAAGATAGTTATTATCTCAGCAACTATTTGCAAATTATGTAGTGTAATACTCTAAATAAACAATATAATCTATTATTAAATATTTTAGCCATAATATAAGCTAACATTTAATAGTTATGTATTATTATATAAAAATAATGAATGTTAATTATTTTTGTTGTTGAAAAAGTTACTAATATTAACATATTTATATATAATTTAAATACTGTATTATAACATATGAGATCATTTAAAAATGCAAATTATTTAATTAAATGGCAAAATTAAAGTAATATGACATACCTTAACACTATAGGCCAGCGCTAGAGTGACTGCGAGTGGAAGACCTTCTGGGACAGCGACCACAAGAACTGTGACACCAATTATAACAAATTTGACGAAATACTGCATGTAATACATCGTAAACTTTTTGCCCCTCACAACAAACATCTTTATAACGAATCGTAATATTAATATAACTACAGTTAAAACGGCAATTGCAGAGCCTGTAGATAAAGATAATGTTAATAATCATTAATAGGTCATAATGTGACAAATCATGTCCTCAGACCTCCATAACCGATCTGAATGGCCAGTTTGGTCAGCTTTGCCTGCAATACTGATTTCTCTTTTCTAGTATTCGTTGTTTCGTCGTCTTGAGTAGACTTTCTCTGTTGATCACTGGCCAGAGGCTCGCCGTCCGCTGAATAAGTATTGGCAGTGGTTGTGTTCATCATATGTGAGTTCTCTGGAGCTATTGCTTCACCAGCTTCTTCATCTGTAACACCAATTAATTATGGGATTGGGTTTATCACCCAAATAGATAAATGTTGTTTAATTTTTTACATATTAAATGGACTTTTAATAATAATATCAGACAAACAATAAATAGACAAAAATGTAAAAAAATTCATTTTGATGACAAAAATAAAGAATAATATAAAGTAAAAAACGAAATCAATAACTAAAATGCTAAAAATCTAAAACCAAATTATTAAAAAAGATAACTGAAAACTCAAAGATAGCAAACAATCAATGATAGAAACATCGAAATATAGACACTGATGAGTCAAATAGACATAACAGATGAAACATTTAGACCGAGAAAATACTAATTTTGTAGATATTGATAGATCAGGTTGTGATCAATAAATACATAAACAACAATACAGTACAGACAGTATGGGACAAACCAATTAAATGAAATCATCAATTGATTGGACACATATTGATAATGATTTGAGACAATAGACAATACAATACAAAAAGATGTGGTTATGTTTGTAAACATAAATTACCAGATTTAGGGTTATAATTAGGTTGATTCAAAGGTATCATTTCCGGTATTGCCGGTTGAGTATACGTAGCATTAGGACATGCATGAGATTGAGATGCGGCTATTGTCGAGTCAAATAAAATACAATATTAACAAATCATATCATTTACATAATATTACAAATTATAATTACTATCTCTAAATATTATCATAATCACATTAAAGTAATAATTAAATTAATAAATAATACAACTACAGTTATATACATTAAATATCTAAGTTAATAAACTAATTTACATTTATAATATTAAATTTAAAAACAAAATAACAATTTATAAATCTAATGTAAATCTAATCAACTAAATATAGTGCATTTTAGATTTAGGAACACTCCATTATAATCAAGGTTAAACATTGTTTAAGTATTTAAATGCAATAATTTTATACAAATATTATTTAACATGCAAAATATAGCTCTATTTAAAAATTAAGTTAATTTAAAAATAAACTCTACATTAAAATAAAAGCTAGAAATAAATAAAATTGACATCAATTTAATAACAGAATTTCGTGCAGGTTTTTCTATAATTTTTATAAAGTCATATATTTATTATGTAATTAAACGCAATTCAATGCATGTTATCAGATATATATACTATTGAATAAAATACCAGAGAATGTAATTGATGTTAATAAATATATTAATAAATAAATATAAATATATAATGAATTATAGGATATATTTAAATATACTATATATAACATAAAACTAAATACATATATATATAAATTTTAATTTATACTATTATCAATAAGATAACTAAAAGCAACTAAAAAAACTATTATTTAAAAAACGAGATTCTCCAAATACATTAGATATAATAAATAACAAAAATATTAAAACATAAAAACATAAAATAATTGTATTTTAAGTAAGCATAACTGAAAATAACATAAATTGTAACCAAATATAAATTTAATGAAAGTATATTTTAATAAATGTTTTGAAACATTATCATCACCTCCAGGGATGCTTTTCTTCTTTTTGCGAGCCTTTTTAGCTTCTGTTTGCCATTTAGTTTAGTAGTAGTAGTAGTCATAGTAGTGATGATAGCGGTTGTCACAGTTTTGTTTGTATATTAACAGTCATTGAGTTTACAATTGGTGTTAATAAGATTTCAATAAGTTTCACAAATTAATATCCAAAAACAACATAATAAATGTCACACAAATGGGAGACACAAAAAATAAAAAGAAAAAATATTTTAAAAATGAGTCAAAATATTTAAAATTAGATTACGATACATATAATTATTAGTATCATTAAGTTAAAACATAATACATTTAACAACTATTTACGTAATCTTTTTTAGTAAAAGTAATAAATAGTCAATTTATTAAGTTGACTAATTTACTTTAGCTAAATAAACTTTTATTAGTTAACATATAGTACAAGAATAATTAAATTAATATTACTGTTATTATCATAATTAGGAATAGTCTTAAAATATAAATATGAAATAATAATATTATCGGTAATTGTATTATTAAGTTTTAAACGATTTTTTTTACTTAAATCAATGTACATAATGTAATGCTATATTTAAAGTTTTGCTTAAAATATATATTACAATACATACTGTATATAAATGGTATGTATAATCAATAGGTAAGTGAGAGACAAACCCTTTTTCATTTGTTTCTTTTGAGCGTCGTCTTCAGATTGTGCCGCACCTAACAGTGCAAATATGATACCCGCCTGCGAGTTGATGCCCACTGCAGTCACTACCATTCGTCCGCTACCCTCCATTACATGAGTGCCTAAGTAGTCATAAGTAGTTATTGATATTTGAAATGAAAATCAAATGGTAATCAATAACAGACCAGAGAAGAGCATTGGGTCATAATTTTCCCCTTTCTTTACGTGATCTGATTCTCCGGTCAGAGAGCTTTCGTCTACTTTTAAGTCATTGCTTTGAATGATGATTCCATCGGCTGGAAGTAAATCTCCGTATTTGACTTGACATATGTCGCCCACAACCAGTTCCGCGACCAACAGTTGAATTACTTCTCCAGCTCTGATGACAGAGAACTTGTGTTCGTGTTCTATACGACTCTGAAGACCTCTGAACTGTCGTTCCTTAGTATAATCATTAAAGGCAGTTACGAGTACAACGATGATAACCGACACAAGAATGGCGGCGCCTTCAATCCAACCGGCCTCAGACTCATCCTCATGAATACCACCTCCTATTCACAACATATTCAAACATACAATTAGTTGTAATTATTGATTTCTAAGCAAAAGAGGTCAACTAAGACTATACGAATGTCCCATTGACTCAATGGATTTACCTCCTCCTCCTTCATCATCTTCTTCACCGGGCGGAGGCTTATAGAAAGCCAATGCCAGTGATATAATAGCAGCCACTTCTAAGATAATTAATGTCACATCTTGTAGTGCTTCCCATACTAATTGCAGAAATGTTTTCGGAGGTTTGGGTGGAATCACATTTGCACCAAAATACTGACGCCTCTCCTCCAAGTCTTTTTCATTACCAGATAGTCCTAAAACATATACATATATCATATAAATATATTATAACATATAAACATTTATAATACATATTATACATATACTGTATGATAATCTCTATCACTTTTAATTAATACTAAATATTAAGACTAATTATTTTTCATTAAACTTTAATATCATGAAATCATGAAAATGTCTATAAATACATTGTCATTGTAACATAAAATTAAAAATGTTTAAAAAGCATTATTCACTGGGAATTGCATACAAAATAAGATTACTCTGATATTTGCATAAATTCTAGCAAATTATTACTTAGGAAATATAGTTTATAATATAAAAAATATTTCCTAAACAAAAATCTTAATTTATAATAAAACATTTAATACTAATATATTGTATTTAATTGTATTGTTAGTAGTGTTGAGAACATGAGATGTGCATTATTTAAGAAATTTATTACAAAAAGTAACACTAAAAGGATAATATAGTAAAGTATGGCATATATGCCATAAAACAATCATCTCATAGCTATAAACGTTAATAATATTTAATAAAACTATAAATGTAATAATAATTTTGATAAAAGTAGTAATAATGTTRTTAATAAAAAGGACAACAAAAAACAATTTAATTTACAATAAATACTAATTTCATTAATTATTGATACACTAAGTTATGATAGCATATAACATAATATAGTAATAAAGCAATATATGATATGAAATGTCAATTGTATATAACTTAAGTTATAATAGTGTATAGTAATGGGTAATAGTGGGTAAATAGTCAATAAATTGTGGTCATTGGTGGCCAGTATTAGCCGATAGTGACCAGTAATCATATATTTATTACATACCCTTATTAGTGTCGGTATGTAGGGCTTGGCAGAGGCCAAACACATTGTTGAACTGATGTTGTATTTTAGTGATGCCCTCCTGACCCCTGTTGTCCATGAGTTCCCGAAGCTGCATAACGGACGCCTCATATTGAGGTGTGGGTTCGTTCTCTACCGTTCCCATGACTATATGGACACCAATAGACAATTAGAGGATTCAATCAATCATATCAATCACTATATGCCATATCAATAACACAGTTAGCTGTGAATCGGAATATCGATGTCTGTCTGATCCACACTTTCCTCCGATTCTTTGCTTTTATATTCAATTGTAGTCTTATTATAGCTATTAATCACACATCTTATGTATAGTTAATAAAATGCACTGAAATTAATCAAAAAACAAAACAACAATTAATTGAATTAATACTAAAAAACACAGAATTTTCGTCAATCATTCATATCATTGAATATAATGTTAAAACACTTCACCAATGAGTGGATACCCAACACAAACATCAATACAGACTATACAGTACTACAGTATAATACAGTCATTCAGTACTTCGTCAATGTATGGTTTGTACGCATGCGCTATATGTGAAGCACCACTACTACACCAATACTGCAACACATTATGACACCAACACTGACACCAAACATACTAAACACTGACCGGTCATACCATACATAGTATTACATATCATACCATATATCACTATATTCAACAATATTTATTAATTTTCATAAATATTATTATAAATAATATTATTATTATATATAAATACTTTAATTATATGTAATCGACATTAACTTATGGTCACTATTTATAGACCCGTATTATATTTAATAGATTTGAGTGCACTTTAATGTCAGGTCTTATGGAAAGCATTTATAGTGAGACAGTCAGACATGAGCTGTATTTAAGTGCATACCATAGCATACCATACCATAGAGTCTAGTATTGAATGCACTGATATTTTTAGGCAACATTTCAAGTCTTTTGTGTAAAAAATGAGTAATCCATACAATATTATCCTTACAACCAATTATACCAACAAAATAGTTATTTTTATTACACTCTCAACATTTTTTCGAGTATTTAATAAAATAATGTAAAATATTATACATATGTAGTGCCAGTACATGTGTTGTAGGCATACAGTTCATGGTATACCGTATTGTAGCACAAGTAGTAATATAATGATTATGTATTTTTAGTATATGACAGTTTGTTGTCAATTTATGCTAAATTATCACTAAAAAACTAAGCTTGCATAAATTTATGATATATATACTGTATATATATATAATAGTTATTATATATTATAGTTATATTATATATATATCATAAATTACACATATAAAATAAATTGATATTTATATGATATATATTTATATATATTTAAATAAAAATATATTGTGTATTGTGTGAAAATTGATCTGCAAATAGTATAATAATGTTTTTAGTTTAATATCAATTTAGACATGCAATGTATAAAAATCAAGTCAATATTTTTAGTGGCAATAATAAAGCTTAAAACACATTATATTTTACATTAAAATATTAAAAGTAATTAACATTACTTGGCATTACATTATGTGCATCTATTTATATGTTGCATATTATAAATTATATGAAAATGATCAAGGTGCAATTGGGTACAGGTGTGCTGACTGTGCTAAACTGTTTAATTTCATAATCAACTTTGCTGTACAAACAGTAGCACAAGTATAGACAACACAATACACATACATTTTATAAAGTGTCAAACAGTGATGTAAATTATAATTAATGTATTAATACTGTATAAATATAGTACAGTATATATTAATTTAAAAATATGGTCATAAATGTTGTGTTCACTGTAGTGATGTAAAGTATATACTGTGCACACAATCAGCAAAAACTAGAGATTACTTGATAGCTATTTATAGATGCATTTAATATAATAATATAATAATATAATAATATGATAATATGATAATATGATAGATCATATTTTTATATTACATTGTGTTCACTGTATTTACATAACTGTGCTTTGAGTCATTGAGCCAATGATTTTATAAGTGAGGAAGTGATGAGAAACACAATTCAAATTTAACCTTGTATAAATATATAATTAAAATAGATAATTATTTTAATAATTATAAAGAGTGTAATATAATTACAGAATCTTTGAATAATTATTTTAAAATTTATTTTTTTCATTTTATATAATAAAAAATAATTACATAATTATCAGTTAAGATAATCGCTATTAAATCAATAGCATTGACGTAAATATCAGTAAAAACAACTATAGAGTCTTGTTTTTACGCAAAATTAGCTAATTTTGATTGCAATTCGTGCTAATTAAATATTATTTCACTTTTTAGTTACTTTTGTAAAAAAAATTATATAATGGATATAAAATATTGAATGTTATTTAGATCTCTCTCTCTCTCTCTCTCTCTCTCTCTCTCTCTCTCTCTCTCTCTCTCTCTCTCTCTCTCTCTCTCTCTCTCTAACTAATGTCAATATTTTATAAAATTTATTATTAACCACTTTTATATTAATATTATATTAAAATAATTTTCATTTAGTTTTATGTTGTCAGTGTTATTATCATTTTTTATTGTGAACATATTGACAAAAATATATGCCACAAATTAAGTTATTCATTAAATTAAGTTTAAAATTTAAAATCATAAGTGCATAAAAAAGTTTCATTTAAAATATAATTGAATGTTATTTATTCCTAACAACTGGTATTCCTATAAATTTATAGTATATATAAATTTAAGTTTCATTAATAAATAAAAATATCTTTAACTTTTTATAAACATTTATCAGTGAACTACGAATAATTTATATTTTTATTACAAATTTTATAGTAATACTTATCAACTAATGCACTCCTGGCACTAAAATACAGTATATAGACTAATGGTAGTACTAATTAGTAGTAAATTATCTAAAAAGTTAAAAAATAAAGTTGTCATAAGTTAAAAATAATAAAATTAATAAATTTTATTAAACAAATAAAATTAATTATCTTTTTAACATTACATTTTTCCAATTATTCTAATAACTTTAAAACCTATTATTTATATGAGCTTTATTTCTATTACTGTATATATGCTATAAAAAATTATTTAAAATATCAGCAAAACGCACAAAATATAAAACTTAATACAGTATTATAAATTAAACAAAAGTCTAGTATTGTCTTAATTAAAATTATACAGGTACTTTTGTCTATTTAGTTAATAGTCTATTTCATAATTTTAAAACAAATTTATTATGGACTAAAAATTTAAATAAATTTTGCATTATTTTAGACTAATTAAAAAAATTCATTAATTTAGTTTCATTAGTCTTAAAATAACAATTATATTGAATCACTATAATTAAAATAGTTTCTATTATTGTTGCTTTTCGGCCAACTTTTTCTTAAGACTTTCGGGCATTTGTGGTGGCGGCGGACGCGGCAAACTAAGCCATACTTTAACAGCGTCGTAGATAAACCATTGAAGACCAGTTAGTGTACCAATCATTATAATTCTGGGAACTAATCCCTTCCATATACCTATTAATCAATTACAATAAAAAATTTGTAAATTCAAATAACAATACTAAATTGTAATCATAATTGTTGTATCTAAATAAGCAATGATAATGTAAAATATTTAATATTTACAATATCTCACCAATATTTAGCTGCAATTAATTTCACACGTAATGACTCATCTCAATTATATTAAGTAATTTTAATTTCAAATTACAACAAATTGAGACTTAATTGACGTGTATATCAATGTTATTAAATACCCGTTAATGTGACGGTATTTCAAAATAATGTATAAAATTAATTTAATACTTTGTATTATAGCCTAAGCGCAGGCTATGATAAATGGCATAAAATGTTGTATTCAATGTATTTAAATTATAATTATATTTAAAATAAAATTCATTTAATCAAATAATCAATAGGTCTTACCGCCAAATCCTAGTTTTTTAAGCACCTGACCAGCAGTGCTTCCTCTGTCTTGATTTAGTTTAGATACAACAGTGTCGGCGGGATGTGACACAATGGCACAGAAGACACCGGCTATATATCAAATCATTAAATATATAAATGTATTCAAATAATTCATAAATACATCTATTAAGACAAACCGATATATCCAGCGGTAAAAGTAACAGTCAATTGTTCCGCTTTATTGCATTCTTCACGTGGTTTGGGAACGACATGTTGGTAAAGCAACTCAACGGTGCGTTCAAAGCAAGCAAACTTCATCATAGTGTACGGAATCTGTCGCATCCAAAGAGGGGAAATACCCTTATAAAAGCCGGAGAAGCCCTCATTTCGCCAGATTTGTGGCGCAACAGTTCGCAAAAGTGGTGAACATCCCGGTTGGGTCTGTATCCGCACTTTGCACGCCTCCATTGGACACAAAGCTATGTCAGCAAAAAACTCTGCCGAAGCACTGGCCGCCAAATATAACGACGTTCGCCATAAATAAGACTTTTCTTCACCCAAAGCATCGGCGTAAACCTTCTTAAAGACTTCATATAAGCCAAACTTTCCTAAACCTTGAAGAGAATATCCTATAGCAGTGGGCGCCCACCCTCTGCCCAATCCTCTAACACCCTCTTCTTTTAAGGTAACATTGAATCCATTGAAGATTCCCTTATATTTTGCAGGATTTACTTGAATACGACATTTGACCAGATCTAGAGGTGTCAATGCTGTATGGGTTACACCACATGACAAGACACCACCGACACTACAGAGAGCAAAGTATTTGCCCGAACCGTAAGCACAGCTGTCTTGAGTCACTTGTTTAGCCATTGATTACAATTACTAAGTCTTTCAATCACGAGATCGACACGAGTTTCAAGTCTTATCTGAAAAGATTAAGCAATCAATCAATTGTTTTATAAAATGTAATACATTTGACATTTTAATTAACTAAATGGCTTTCTTTACATTTCAAACAAACTATAAATTTATAAATAATTATTTAAATTATTGTTTAAATTACTTACAAATTAATTGTGATTACAATCGGACGTCAAATAAGTCAACGAAAGTCTAGTTTTAGGACACGTTTTGAGTGAGAGTTAGAGTGAATGTCGGCTTTAATATCAATTGAATGCAAAGTCAATGGAAGTCAATGTCACACAAAATGTCAACCAATCACTGCATTACAATCCATACGACTGTTGCGACACTTATAGGCAATCGTTGCAAATGTTTATCAATTTAAGTGTTTTGTTATCAAATCATTACAATAGATGTCGTATTCATTGTATGTTTCAAACAATATATTAACTTAAAATTTAATACAATATTACACTATTAAACATTAATATTAAATATAAATTTATTTACATCTAGTTATACACATATACTGTACAGTTTGTAGAGTTTATACTTTATTATAGACAATAAAATATTTATCTTAAAACAATAGTTTTAAATTTTAATTAAAAATAGTATTTTATATTTATGATTAATTATAATTATAATAATAAACAAAAAAACATTATATATTATTGTCAATAATTTATTTATTTAATTTCAATTTATTTGTTATAATTTTGACAAAATTATAAAATAAAATATTTTTATTGACTTAAGTCATGACATCTATGTTTCATTGATTGTCTCAAACGTTGCTCTAAAGTATGGTTGACAACTCAAACATACAAATTAAGTATTTTTTATATAAAAATGTCAAAAATCAAAGAATTAAATTAAATTAATATTTATGTATTAATTTGAGAACTCTTGTGATGCAATAAATTAAAAATATGACAATATTTATACATTTATCAGAATAATTATAATTATTTTCTAATACAACTTTTTACTTTAACACTATAAAGATATTAATATAATATTATAACTAAATATTTAGCTATACATGACATGACATTATATATAAATAAGATAATCTTATTAATTAAATACTATAATATTATATATAGTCATATCATTTATTATTTTTAAAAAATATGAGATATTAAAAGCAAATTAACAAAAATGTATATAAATGTGTGTATAGTTGTCAACCCTATTCTAAAATATGTTTCATTGAAACTCATATCGAAAGTCAAGAATTAGTGATTGAATGACAAAATTGAATCAAAACTAGASTTGAGTTGAGATCTGAGTGTCGACTCATTTATCAATCATTTGAATTACACTTTGATTTTAAGTGTAATTTAATTATCGACTAATTGTTTGTCGACTCAATTGTGGCGCAAATTGCGACCAAAAAACGCGTGTTTTCTAAACAAACGTGCGATCCGTTGATTAGTTTGTTGTCACCAAAGATGTTGTGCAGAAAATTGGTTTCAATTTCTTTGATTAATAAATTAATACATAAAAATCAAAGACATTTTACAACGAGTAGTGCTTTGAAAGCACAGGTATGTGATTAAGATCTAACACGCGATTGACGTGTGGTTAACATTTGATGGTATCTATACAGCTAACAGTGAGGGATGCGCTTAACTCAGCCATGGATGACGAGATGGAAAGGGATGACACAGTGTTTCTGTTGGGCGAAGAAGTGGCTCAATATGACGGCGCATATAAAGTGAGTCGTGGATTGTGGAAGAAGTACGGAGACAAACGTGTGGTCGACACTCCCATCACTGAAATGGGTTTCGCCGGCATTGCTGTCGGAGCTGCTATGGTAGACATTATAGAGATATTGTTATAATTGATTGATATATAGTATATTTGATTTACCAAAATAAGGCCGGTTTGCGACCGATCTGTGAATTTATGACATTTAACTTTGCGATGCAAGCCATCGACCAAATCATCAATTCTGCGGGAAAAACATTTTATATGTCGGCCGGAACGGTATATTTACAGTATATATGATATTTGATTACAAATAAAATGATGAAATATTAAAAGTGATTTGATTTACTAAAAAGGTTGCCATTCCTATTGTATTTCGTGGTCCTAACGGTGCTGCATCAGGTGTGGGCGCTCAGCACTCTCAATGTTATGGCGCGTGGTATAGTCACTGTCCCGGATTAAAGGTAATCTCTCCATATTCAGCTGAAGATTGTAGAGGACTGTTAAAGAGTGCCATTAGAGATCCCGATCCCGTTGTGTTTCTTGAAAATGAGTTACTCTATGGACAACCATTTGAAGTCTCGGATGAAGTGAAATCTAAAGATTTTCTTATTCCTATTGGAAAAGCAAAGATTGAAAGATCTGGAGATAGGATTACATTAGTTTCCCATTCAAAAGGTGTGGGCATATGTCTCGAAGCGGCTCAAGAGTTGGCCGCAATTGGTGTTGAGGCCGAAGTTATTAATTTACGAACATTAAGACCATTAGACGAAGAGACTATTATCAATTCTATTGTAAAAACAAATCATTTAGTGACTGTTGAGGGCGGTTGGCCTCAATGTGGTATCGGAGCTGAGATCTGTGCACGAATTATTGAAAGTATGATTCAAATGTGTTTTAAATAATAGTAAATTAAATTTTTAATTGTTTAATATTATTACCGATAGGTCCAGCCTTTGATTATTTAGATGCTCCAGTAGTTCGTGTAACCGGTGCTGATGTTCCCATGCCATACACTAAATCATTGGAACAGTTGGCTCTTCCACAGAGTCATGATATAGTTTTAGCCGTTAAAAAAGTTTTGAATATTTAATATAATGATATCACTAGTCATTTTAATAATTATAGGTCATAATTAAATTAATTGATTAAAATATTAATTACCGGTAATGAGTTTTTCTGTTATTAAAGTTATTTACAATTTTTATTTAAATTCTATGCATATTATTATTTAAGACATAAAATAACTAAAAATGTTTTATTTCTCATTTATTATTTGTTATTAAGTTACCAATAATTGTATATTTTTAGTTTTATTTATTTTTTATCATTTTTGGGAAAACGATTTATCAAATTATTGTTTGAATTTATTTTGATAGTTATATTTTAAAATATACAATACTTTGTAGTTATAATTATTGTAGAAATAAATTTTTAAATATTTCACTGTATTATGAAAATGATTGTAAAATAATGGTTGTGAATCACAACTTGTGATTTATTACCGGTAATTATAATTAAATTTTATCTTTTGTCACAATTTAGTACTAATTCAATATTTCATGAAATGACATTATTTTGCATTTATATTATTTTTTAAATTGTTTTTTAATTAGCTTTTACGACAGTAGTTTGATATAAATAGTAAATTACGGTAATAATGGATAATATAAATGTTGTTATTGTAATTAATATATTAGATATCATTTTGTAAATTAGACAAAAATGTTAATATAATTGATATTAAATATATAAAAAATTATTTATATAAATTAGATCTTAATTGTGTAATTGTTTTAACAGTTACCGTAAAATCGTGGTTTATTTCCCATATGGAATTTTAAAAAATGAAAAATAACATTTTCATACGGTAAAAACTTCCATTTTTTACCACCCCTGCTAAATTAAACGAGTTAGTGGGGAAAAGCAAAATTGGGGGAATATGGAACTGTAATGGCCAATAATTAACAGTAAACTATTAAAACCAGTATATTTAGATATTACCGGTAATTAATTAATAGTTATAACAGTGTTTAACAATAAATGACATTTGTGTACATTTACAGTATTTTTATATATTATAAATCGGTAAATAGATAACATATTCAAAGGGTTTGAATAATTAGAGACAAGGGGTCCAAATAAAAGGGGTGGCAAATCTTGAAAATATATAAAAACAGACAAATTATTATTCAAAGTAAAAAACTATTTTTCATATTATGGTACAAAACTCGCATTATTCCCCACGACTTTGACATTTCCATATGGGAGAGAAAACACAATTTAACGGTAACCATAAAAACAGAAAGTGACATACATTTTGTTTACAGATTTTTGGTTATGTTTTTAAGTTTCGGTTTTGATTTTAAAATATAATTTCTTGTTATTCATGTGATAATCCAATAATATATCAGTAAATTTACTTTAATTTTTTATAAGAAATATGTAAAATGTTGGTAATGGTACTACATTTTTATATATAAATTACAAAAAGTATAGTTTAAATAATTCATTAATAAATTTATAATTAGTTGAAAATAATACAATATTATAATAATTATTATGAAAATGTTTAAAATATTTATTTAAAAATTGATTATTATATAGACTTCTCAGGAACTGGAATTGATATCCAGAGATCTTAATCAAAATTTCACATAAAAATATAGTAAATAAATAATAAATTTTAATACAAAAATCCTAATTATATGATAACAAGAAAGAAAGTTTTTAAATAAAAATTTAGCTCATAATTTAAAAATTACAAAAAATATTTTAAGTTTTTTCGTTATACTAATAAAAAATAACACTATATTAAACATATATGAAAATTAAGTTTAACTAAATTGAAATATAAAAATATATTGTAATTTTTCACTATAACCACTAATAATTTTAATGAAATAGTAAACTAAAAATATATAAAATTAAAATATTAAAAGAAACTAGTTTGTCCCGAGCAACATGTATAGCCGTGCAATTCTTTTACTAATTTAAAAATATTTACTATAAGTAATTTGAATGAGACTTAATTTGTTTATACAACTACTACATAACCTAATGTAACAAAACTACTGAACCAATACACATTAATTCGACTAAACTTTTGAGAAATTTTAGTTTTTATATATATTTAATAATTTTAATAAAAATTGAAAATTTAATTTTTGCGAAAAAAAATTTGCATTTGAAAAAAAATTACTGAAATTTAACACATGTAGCTAACATGTGCCATAAACTCACACAATATAGCAAAGTGTAATTACACGACACACCAGCCTACCTGTCCCTAAAACCTACCTGAGCTCAACAAAAATTTAAAATTTCCCATAGAAATAACATTGCTTTAAATTAAAATTGAAAATTTTAACACAAATTGAAAATTTTTGCATTTGAGAAAATTTTGCAAAAATTTAGCACAGGTAGCTTACCTCCCGGTGCCCTGTAACTCATATAATATAGCAAAGTGTAATTAGACGACACCAGCCTACCTGTCCCTAAAACCTACATGAGCTCAATAATCATTTAAAATTTCCCATAGAAATAACATTGCTTTAAATTAAAATTGAAAATTTTAACACAAATTGAAAATTTTTGCATTTGAGAAAATTTTGCAAAAATTTAGCACAGGTAGCTTACCTCCTGGTGCCCTGTAACTCATATAATATAGCAAAGTGTAATTACACGACACCAGCCTACCTGTCCCTAAAACCTACCTGAGCTCAATAATCATTTAAAATTTCCCATAGAAATAATATTGCTTTAAATTAAAATTGAAAATATAACAATATATTTTTAGCTTTGAATTAAAAAATGGTTGTTGAGGAAGTGTGCACACATACAAACAAACAAACAAACAAACAAACAAACAAACAAACAAACAAACAAACAAACAAACAAACAAACAAACAAACAAACAAACAAACAAACAAACAAACAAACAAACAAACAGACAAAACAAATGTCTTAAAGTTATTAGGATTAGTGGTTACCCGTTGGCAAAATGGGTAAAATTTAACAAAATGTAAAAAATCAATATTTTAATATTATCTATAATTTTGCAAATACATTCATTTACCGGTAATTATTAAATATTATAAAACTTGTTATGGTTTTACTGAATTATATTATGATAATGACTATATCATAGTTATAAATATATTTTGATACTTTAATCGACTTTAATATTATTGCAATAATTATCATTTACTATAGATTCTATAGTATAGAACATATAATTTAGTTAGTTTTGAATAAAACTATTTTAATTATTTTATAAAATAATAATAATTTATATGAATATATATAACATTAAGGTAAACACCATTTTTTCCACATATTTTTGATAATATTTCTGCATTTATAGTCAATTATTTAAAAAAAAGTATGTACTTAAAAATCACTTGAATGAAGTTGAATTGATTTTTGTAAAAAATAGTACCCAGGTAATTAATATTATTAAGTTAATAATATTAACTAAGAATTAGGGTTAGTATCGTTAGGATTAATAAAATCGGACATAATTTCGAAACGGATTCACATTATCGTTAAAAAATAAATTCGCAAAAATGTATTCATAAAAATAATTAAAATGTAATAAAAAGTATACTAAACAAATGTAAATATTAAAATATTATTTACAATAACTAAATAATGATAACAATTTTAATATTAAATATAACAATAGTACAGTATATTTAAGTCTCACTAAATTTTTATAATGATTTTTAAAATATATACAGTATATATATATAGTATAAGTATATATTTATATAAATTATGTTTAGCATCAGTCAAACAATGCCTGTCCCATATCTTCATCATCGCTATCGTTGATATCAATGTCGTTTACTCGTGAGTCTACAGTGTGACACACTTTAGCTACTAATTCATTGAACTCTTCCGACTTATCGGCGTAGACGTGATGTCCCGATCCCTGAATGATCTCAACATTGACTCTATCGCCCAACAAATACTTGGTTTGAAAGCCGGGTTGTCTATCAATCCAAGAACGGGAACCATAAATAAAAGTCATATTAATTTCCGGGTGTAACTCCGTTATCCTATCGATCATAGGATTGCGAGCCCATCCGAGACTAGTGGACAATGATTTAAAAGCCATTTCTCCACTCGGCATGTGATTTGCGTTACAATGATATATATATTCAAGAAAACAGTCGGCATTTCCCTCTCCTGCCATTTGTTCAAATTTTTTCTTTATATCGGGCCGTAACTTATGAATCAATTGCGGACCCCACGGGCCGGCAGCTCTAAGTCCAGCTAATGGTGTAAACATTGTAACAACTTTAGCCACCATTTTAACCCAAAGCGGTCGCGGGATTTGACGTTGAGTTAGTTGTTGATTCATTTGCAGCGAAGGCATACCCCATGGATCAGCTAATATTAAATGAGATACTCTTTCTGGATATTGAAGAGTATAAGAAGCGGCTAAATAAGCACCAAATGAATGACCTAATAGTATAAATTTGCGGTCGAGGCCAACATGTTTGCGCCACCTTTCGATACTATCGATCATTTGTACTTCGGCTGTCTCTCCCGAATCAAATGTTGGTCGCGAGCTTTTACCAAAACCCAACAAATCAAATGCGTAGAGTTTGCGTCCCGTTTGCAGAAGTGAATCCAAATTCAAAGCCCAAAGACCAATGGCTGACGCAAAGCCATGTATTAGCACTAAAGGTGTGGCCGACGACTCGTTATCATTATGGGCTTCGGGTGTCATCTCTAATGTCCATATTTTGCTATTATCAACACCTAAGCCCTGACCGATGTCTACATAATAGGTTCGGAAGGGATTCTTCAGGACTATTGAATACATAAACAATTGTTAATAAATAATAAATAAATAGTTAATCGTGTCTTACATGATAGCACTTTACTCTCGGCTCTGTCCAACTCATGAGGACTGGTTGGTCGCCATCGGAACCAATTAGACACTCGACTTGAAATGAGATAATAATAAGTTGTTATTTGAGACATCAAACTGAGGAGCGATACGCTCCGGTAGATCAATATATTTAACATTTGACTAAACATTATTAACAATCATTTGTCACTTTCATCACATTTGATCCACAGATGACACACAAAATAACTTCAATTCATTAAAAAAAAAATTCAATTTATTTTTAGCACATTTTATATTTAGTTTTAAATCAAAATATCATTCATTAAAACATTCACTCATTAGTTAAATTGAGTTAAGTCTATAAAATTGCATTCATTTAACTGTAAAATTAGATTTAATTTTTATAAATAAATCAAATGTTAAATAAAGTCAAAAATGACTTCAAATGTAAGCAAACCTTGAATTTGTGATAACATTATAACCAATGTTTGGGTCATTACTTGAAGTGTTAAGATTATTGTCGCATAAATTGGTCTCAAATGTAGTCATCATATATGGTTCACATGAAATAAATCGTGTAATTTGTAATAATTTTTTGCATTTATTTGAATTATATAATAAATTAATTTTCATAAGTTTTCAATGCAAATATTTAAATCAATATTATAGTTGAATTCAATTTTATTATACAATTTATATGATATAAATTATAAAATATTAACTAAAGATAAAAGATTTAAAATATTAAGTCAATGTATAAGCAAACAACTTATGATAAATTTTAGACATTTAATTAACAATCAGTCATATGATAATAAATACACTATTATTATGATTGCAAAACATTTAATGTCCAATCAATTGCCAAAACATGACTTTATATATTAAAATAAATGTACTGTACTTTACTTTACTGTATAAATGTATTGCAAATTTCTAATGTTATTAATGTACACAACTTGTGTACTAAGTTTTAGTACAATTCAGTTAAACATATAGGTTGTACTCATTATATGTTACTTAAGTTATTATTTTGTATATTTAATTAAATTCTTTAATTATAATTTATAGTATATTTCATATTTATATAAAATAGATTATTTTTAAATTTTTATCATTTTATAAAATAGCAATTAGTTTAATATAAATATATTTAAATTCTTACACTATTCTTGTATTTATATGACGTTTTATAGCAATGATGTGCACTTAAACTGCACTAAAATTAAAACTTAATAATATACTAATTATTGAATATTTTATATGTATTTTTTGCAATATATGTACAATACTTTGTATTACAGTGATTGTCCAATTTGTACTGTACAGGTATTATATTAATAATGTAAAATATTATTAGTTTTGCAGTATAATTATCTTTATAATTATTTAAAATATATATAATAAATAATATTCAATTGAATTATATCATAATATGCAATATTATAAATACAGTACATTACTAAATGGTTACATAAATCAATTATTAATATACAAAATTCATTTATATATACTGTAATACATATTTTAAATTTAAAGTTTAAATTTTGATATTTATATTTAATATATAAATATATAGAATTAAGATATTTTAAAAATATATATTCAATGACTACTGATGTTATCCAAACTATATGACTGTTAATATAGTAATTGAGTTAATGGGTTACCAGACCTTCAACAATGTCCTCAAAATTTCAATTCAAGTGTCAAAACTCATAAAATTCTTTCATTTGTTTATTTAATCTAAATTTTTTCGTTATTTATAGAAATAGTGTTTCAAAAATGAAAGTATTGTTTATATTAACACCTATAGGATGTCTTCAATTTGCTTTATATTTAGACTTATATTTAAGTAATTTATTATAAATTATTAGAGAGAGAGAGAGAGAGAGAGAGAGAGAGAGAGAGAGAGAGATTTATATTTACGTAATTATATATGCATTACGTCATTATATTAATAATATAAACATATTATCTAACAAAATAAATGATATTTATTTATAATAAACATTGTAATCAATACATATTAGACAATATATGCATATTTTTAATTTAAAATCATTGAAATTAATTGAAATTAGTTAATCAATGAATTAGTGGGCGATTGTATTAAATGCAATGTAGTTGTGTTGAGATATGCCGTAAGTTTGAGTGATTAACATCACTGCATCACTACATCACTATTCATCCATATTATYAAAGTTTTCATTTCAAAGAGACTTTTTATAAACAGACATTGAAACTGTGGTAAATAAATTCATAAAAATTATTACTATTAAGTTTTAAAACATTTTCAAATTGTTTGGCATATATACAAAAAAAATAATTATTACTTAAAAAGCGTTTCAATTTTTATTTTATTATTCAAAAGAAAACTAAATTGAAAATCATTGTCAATAAAATAGATATTTTAGAAATTTTTAAATATATGTTATAAATATACTATATATAATTGTAAACATATTTAACATAAATTTTATAACATACATATACAGTGAATACTACTGAATATACTGAATAATATTTCACTTTTAAAATATAACATATACTGTACTATAGTCTATAGATATCTATTTTAATGATTCTGCAAATTATATCCAAGTTATGATATAATAGATTTTATAATACTTTATATTAATTTATTATTACTTATAATATACTAAATAAATTGTAGTATAAATGTGTGAAAATTTTATTAATAAGTATAATTTTTATTGTAATAAATGGTGTAAAATTGTAAATGTTTACCAAAAAATACAAGTTTTATGGATTTGTTTGAAATAAATTGTATACAAAAATAGTTTGATATTTTGAGCTGAGTTTAGTGTCAAATGTATTGGCAATAGTACTCTACTATTAGATAGTATAGCACTGTATGTATGTCTATGAGTGGCAGTAAAGCATTCATACATTGAATGGAGTACTCAATGATTACAACACTTTTGATGAAATAGTGAACACAAACACAATGTCTTGTATTGACTTATATTGAGTTCAATGCAAATACTTTTGTTGACAACAATTGTCTTATATTTTGTGTGATTAATGTCTTTGACATCACATTTGTGAACCAATTAAGGGTCTCACTTATGGTTTGTCCACATAATCGCTGATTCAAATGAATTACAAGAGATCGCATGATGGCTCAGACACGGAGCCAACGGTTCCCAAAAGGAAATTGGATGAAATTCATGTCAAGTCACAAACTGAGTCACAACCATCACATGATAATAGATTACCACCGATGCCATCGATGCCCTCATCATCATCAGCAACGATGACGACATCACATTCATTAACTATAGATCACAAACATGTTGTCCACAACCGAATGGCAGCTCAAGTGGACGCCGAGTGTTTGATGGACTGCTGTGAAGCTTACAAAGTATCGGATGTTACCAATGATAACAATTCTGGTGTCAAACATGTTGTCGAATCAATGGCCACAACAAGCAGTGAACCAGAAGATGATGACGACTGCGACACCGATCCCGACATAATTATACCTTATTTGAAGCGCTTTCAGGATTCATATCAGTCTTCATTGAATATATATTCTTCACGTTTGGAGAAACTAGAGTTAAGCGATGCTCTCAAATGTACTAATGATTTGTTTGCCGTCGCCATTGATAACTATCAGAAGGAACACAACGGGTTCACACACAAGACATCTATGGATATGTCTGGCATTCTTAACATTCGCCGAGAGTTTGACACACTTCTGGCCGGTGGCGGCGGACTTATTGATGAACAACACAATACCACTACTGTTAATAACGGTTCAAATTCAATGACAAATATTACAGTGAATATGAACTCTATGAATGACACTTCAATTAAGATCACAATTAGCGATAATAATGGTTCAAATGCTTTGAGTGATTGCACTAATTATTATTTTAATCGATTATCAAATAAGTATTTCTTTAATAATTTTATGTTTGACGAAAAGTTAGCAAAAGTTATATCATTTATGTGTCAAATTGAGGCCAAAATTTGTTGCGATATGAAACAGATATACTGTTCCTATGAACGACTCCTGGAAGCGCTTGTGATGATAGAGTACAGACTGGCTATCATTATTGAGATGTTTCATCACATGACAGATGTCGAGCCACAAAAGTTCCTGCCGTGCCTTCCATTCATTCAGAACGTACCGGATCTGATCGGTTACATCAACAGTCTATATGACGCCGAAAATGAACTACAAATGAGAGATGAGACGTGCAATGAGCGGATGCAGGCCATCGTTGACCAGTTCCGAGCAATGCATAAACGTATTCGCGATGCTATGGATGGTCTGCACGCACTGTCTTGTATTATAATGGAGAAGAAGACCGAAGTTATCGATAGAGTGCACACCTTTTACAAGAAAGCCGAACAGATTTTCTTCTCTCAGCCGCCGTTCGTGTTTCAGACCAAAAATAATAATACAAATCGTTGTCTGTAATCACTATTAAATAAAATATTTTCTATTTAATTGACGGCAAATGTTTGAATGGATAGCATTAAATGTCCATAAATTGCTGATAATCATTGCCATACAAAGTCACGCAACAAATCGAGTCAACCAAGAGATCTAATCCTATTTTAATCACACATTCTTTCTAATCATTAATAAATTGTTTGAGTCATGAAAACAGTTTCAAAAGACTACAAATAAATCAATCTTTGCTATAAATATATTAATTTAGACGAAAATATTAATAATCAATTATTATATAATTTCTATGTTTACATTTCATTTGGTCCAATATATCCGAATTTATTATCCAATTTTAATCATAACGATAATTACAATACGAACATATTGTACGATATTTTAATCGCTATTTGTTTTAAATCAAAAGACTTAATTTTGACTCAAAAGAGCCACAATTTTACTGTATATAGCAATTTAATATCATTGTGTTGTTTGAGGCTATTGTGTACTTATATTGTAATTGATTTCGATATATATTTTATTATTTTATCAAAATTGATGCAATTTTTAATCGCTTCAAATGTTTTGTTCCGAGTATTTTATTTATAAAATAATTTTGGTTATTGTAATTAATATTTATTATGGATTTTTTTAGGCAATAACTCATGATTCCTAAAAAAATGATAAATAGTTATTAGTTAATGAAATTAATTGATAAATAAAATTAAATTGTATTAAAAAAAGTGACATGTGCCAACATTATTTAAATATCATTTTGAGCTTTTTTCAGCTCAATGTTAGTATCAAATGTGTTAATTGATCTGATATGACATGAATGTCAGCCCATATTTCCATTATAAGACAGTTTTACAACAATTAACTTATATTTTTCTATTCAAAATATAAATTCATAATGTTATTCATACGGTAAGAATATATAATGTAAAATCAAATCAAATAATTTTATGATAATTAACATTACTTAAATATAAGCTACAAAACTAAAAATGATTTATTTTACACAATCAAATGATAAAAATAAAAGTTTAGTTACATTTTGTTAATTTTTTTAACATTTAAATTATATTAAACAAAACAATCAATAATATAATATGTTATATAAAAAATATATTGAATTCTTTAAACATTTTGTCTGATTATTACATTTGCAAAGATTAATGTATTTAATTTCCTATATTTTATATTTATAAAAACAATTTATAAATTAAGTATAAATGCATTTTCAGGGGATACAAATTATTTGAAAATATTTTATTAATTGAAATATTGGTAACTTTAACACAACGATAAAAAAAATCAATGTAAACTTCGTTTCATAATTATTGACACTAATTTAAATTGAATTAAATTACGTTATAATTAAATTTATCAAAAAATAATTATTATTAAATTAAAATATTAAGTATAAAGATTAAACTAATTTGTTTTTTAATATTAAATTAGTCCGTTTTAGTCTCTCTAATTCACTATTATAATCGAAATTTCGGTAACATAATTTATGACTCCAGAAGTTTGTACCGAAATTATCTTAAATATCATTGATATTGACCATCCAGGTCTTTGTGGTGCATCCAAGATGTTTGTCTAACCTTTATCTTTCGTTAGAAAGCAGCAGAATCATAAAAAAAATCACCACGGTCAATAATCAAGACATTTAAGATAATTTGGTCCATAATTTTAAAAAATTTACTATCGGGTAACTAAATCCCGATTAAAAGTGGTAATCATAGAGATAATTTAAAGGGAAAAACGGGAACAGATTCTTACATAATATACTATTTGAATGTATTATTAAAAATCTATTATAATAATTTATTTTGCTATTAAATTGTAGTTTATTTTAGTTAAGTAAATTTAGTGTCAATAATTATGAAACAAGGTTTATATGTATAATAAAATCTATAAACTTTGATGAATTGATTCAAAAATATAGATAACTTTACAAATATTACTTTAACATTGGAAAATAAACTAAAATAAATATATAAACTAATAAAATGTATGTTTACTTTATAAATACTATTGTAATGTTAAAGTATATTCGGAGATTTATCAAATTACCTATACTTTTGAATTAATTCAGATTAGATTTTATTATACATTTACATTGATTTTTATGGCTGTGAAAAATAAGTTTGTTAATTACTAAAATCGTAGGTCTTATAAAAAATATGTCTATTAAAATTGATTTAATTTTAATAATATATATTTATTATCATTAAAACTTTAAAAATTAACTATCCAAACAATGAAACGTCAATAAAAAAACAAATATATTTAAAAAATTATTTAAGAAAGTAACTTATAGTATAAAGAATTTTTTATGATTTACCCTACATATAGACTCTATATTATAGAGTATGATATAATTAAATTATTAGTTACGGTAATATAAGAAAATAATTGTCAATTTTATATAATGAAACAATATAAATAAATGCATTTTAACAAAAATTTGTAAAATTAGACAAAAGTATTTTTTTAAAAAAAACAATCGAGTATCAAATTATAATAATGTACAATTTTCATTAATATTTTTGGTAATAAATTACTTTAGACCACATAATCGGTAAAAAGAATTAAATATACAATAAATATAAATTTAATAATAAATTAAATATAAACTATCAATAATCAGAATTATAAAAATTAAAAAAAATGTCAAAAATAGGTCTTAAAGTGAAATGTAATAATATTTAAAGCATATTTCTGTGATGAGGAGAGTCGGGTTCAAAGCTTATGTCAATGAGTTCGGTGTCGTCATCGCTGTCGTGAATGTTATGACCGTTGATCACAACTTGAGATTCAATGGGTTGAGTAAATGCTAGTATTATATCACTTTGAGAGTTGGAATTGTATTTAATTTGTCGGATTCGGTGCATAATTAGGAAGTTGTCGGTCACCCAAAATATAAACACATTGACAAAGAATGGGATAACAAGTAATACCAAAATAATCTCAGTTTTGACATCAAGAAAATGCTTGATTGGCCACAATATCAATGACCGAACTGTTAACCAAAATTCAAATAAAAGTAAAAGTGTTATAATAAACTTGACGACCAATACTATTACAATATATGCCAAACACTGTATTATCCAATACCGGAGCAATGGCTCGGGTTTGCCGTATTCACCAAATATTAAATATGGATGACTATACTTAATGGCAATATATTCAGCAAGTCTTATAAAAAGCCATAATAATAGTAAACCAATGGATGAATCAATTAAAAAACTAATTACATATCTGTTAAGTAAAATTGTTGACAATTAGGATATATTAAAATTTCAATTACAGGTAGTATTATTACTATTGCTTACAAAGTGCACGGGTCGCGACCCGAATTTATTTCGGCCAATAATATGTTAAGAAAATGGACGACAAAAGCACCGAAAGCCTGTTTGGAAGTGTCGAAGAACCAGATAAGCCACGGACGACGGTAGCGGTGAGGTTCACAAAACCGCTTCACTAAACAAAACAATTATATTTAAAACACATTTCATATATTTAGTGATTACTCTTTACCGATAAGACACGTGAAGGCAATGGTGGCCAACAGTAACTGTATGGTCCAACTGTATGACGATAACAGTGACCCGTGAGAGCAGTGACCTAATGTCATCATATTGTCCACATTGGATGACATTATAACTCAAGACTAGATTTGTTACCAATTATCACAAAACACTCTTTTCTGTCATTCATTTAGTCAAACCTTGTCTTCAACTTAAACAACACATGACTTTCATTAGTCGTCAACAGAAGATCTTCTGTGTATTGGACATCAAATTTGTATCAAATAATCATAACTAATGACTAAAACACACTTTATTTAGTCATTAATACAAATGATTTCAACAATTATGACAAATAAGTGATATTTTGTTTAAACAATTGAATAGCATTTCATTACATATGATGTTATGTTTCAATAGTAACGCAAACATTGAATATCTATTAAAAACAATTGATTTGTTACTTAAATTTAATTATTCAATAATACAAACAAATAGTCAATTACTTAATGTTTACATTTATTTATCTGTGTTTGCATTGCATTCACTCAAACAATATATTCAATACAATTTTAATTTACATGCATTTAGTGTAAACATTTGCATTCAATGCATTCACTTATCAATCATACGCATGGCTTATGTTTTGACTGCATTGCATAAAAGTTACAAATATTTGCAAATATATGTACCGGTACTGTATTATATCATTTTAAAAACATTAGACATTAAATTATTTACAATATTTAAACTTACACTAAAACTTACCATAAATTTTATTTAAAATTTTTGAATTATAATACTGTATAATATTACCGTAATTACATTATTGAATAATCTATTTATTTTAACTTAAATAATCTTCGTTTTAGACAAATTTGATATAATTTCATCAAATAATTATCGATACATAATTTTGACCAAAACTGTATGCAAATTAACATAAATTGTAAGTTATATGTCGATAATGCTATTATTTCAATTAAAATATAAATTTTATATTTTGTTAATTCACAGCTTTTATATAATCAATTTCAATTAACATACAGTATATTATACTCTATAATAAATTGTTGTTTCATAGTTGTGTTTGAAACAAATTTATCAAAATTTCATTTGAGATCTTTAAATATAAATTAATCTTTTAATTTACGAAAAGCAATACCGTATTACTGTAGAGTTAAATAAAAATAATATCTGGAAAATATGACATTTATATTGATTAAATAGATAAATACAATACCAGTATTTGTTTAATTACCGCATTAATTAAATTTTATATTATTTCAGTTTTAAAAGAGTAATAAAATAATTCCTTTATTTATATTATCATAAATATCAGTTAGATTTTAAAATATCTGATATAATAATAATACATATTATTAATAATTATTAATAATAAAACTTAAATAAAATATATACCGTAACTGAAACAAAAACAAAATAAAAATTCATTTATTAAAACAATACATTTGTTGTACTTTTGATTACTTCATTAAAGCCTTAACAACTGCTTTAGCATTCAATTGCTTTAAATCACGATATGTCTGCCCAACGCCAACAAACACAATGGGCTGTCCTGTAATATAAGTCATCGATATAGCGGCGCCCACCTGATCATCAATTGTGTCAAATTTGGTTAAAACTATGCCATTAATAGCCGATGCGTTTGAAGTAACACCTTTGCAACCGTTATCTAACAAAGCGGTGTTAAATTTCATTAGTTGGTCGACAGCCTCATTGCCGACCAATGCTTCGCCGACAAACAATGTAAGATCCGGTTCATTAATCTTAATTAATTTTGCCAATTGCTTCATCAATGGCTCATTTCCTTGCATACGTCCCGCAGTATCAACCAAACAGCAACCATATCCACCACTTCGGGCATAATTGATACCTTCCATAGCAATGGCAGCACTGTCTTTGCCGTAACCCTTTTCAAACAAATCAACTTTAGATTTACCATCCTTTTCGTGAATATTCTTCAACGCTGTTATGTGTGTCCGTAACTGTTCAATAGCACCGGCTCTGAATGTGTCGCATGCAATAACAAGAACTCTTACATTATTAACGATAAGCCAATTAGCAATTTTGGCCAAATTGGTTGACTTCCCGACACCATTGACACCACAAAAGACAATAGTATAGGGAGACGACTTGGCTCTTATGTCTCGCAAAATATTTATATTCCGATTAGGACTTAATATACGCAAAATTGAATCTTCGAGAGCATTGCGAACAAAGCTCTTTAGTCCAGTCCATGTGTTAACGGTTTGTCCCTCAAGTTTTGTGGACACACTTTCGCATAGTTTAGTAGCTATTTCTGAGGCTACGTTCTTAGCAATTAAATGATCTCTAAGTTGATTCAAAATAGGCTCTAAATCTGCTTGAGTTAAGACTTTGTTATAATTAAAAGTTTTCAAAAACGATCCAAATATCGATTTCTTAGGTTTGGCTGATATAAATTCTTCTTCTTCTTCATCTTCTTCTTCTTCTTCAACCTCAAACTCGAGATCGGGCTGCATATCAATGCTGTTATAATTAGCAAAGTCTTCAGCGTTAGCCGTATTTTTGGCAATCGATGAACTGTTGACATCAAATTCGTCACCTTTTTTGCTAAAATCCAAATTCTGGGCGTTTTTTCCGCCCAAATCCCAGACCCGATTGCTTTTCTCTTTCTTTGTCGGTTCCTTTTTAGGCACTTTCTTAGCCTTGGGTGAGGTCGAACTCTTCATCATTTGCTGCAACTTCTTCTGTATATCCGTTTGATTGTTATTCTGTCCATTAGTGTTGTTGTTTGGTTTGTCACTCTTTTTGACGACTGATTCCTCTTTTGCCGATTCTTTGGCACTCTTAGTCTTGTTGTTATTGGTCTGAACTATCATTGAGGCCACAGTTTTCTTGGATTTGAAACTTTGTTCAAATGTTCTCATTTCATGTTGTATTGGATTACTTTGTATTTTATAACAAATACCGTAAACTTTTTTAAACTCCATATTGAAGTCAACGACATTAGTGGTTAACAAAGGTATCAAACTATTGGTAATGCCGTTCACCTGTTGGTCACCGTCGGTGACAGTCTTCCCGATGTTAGATGCCATTAACAGCGTCTTTCGAAGATCGTAATCTTGAAATTTATCTCTAAAGGCCAATTGGATCTGCTCTAAGAACTTATCTATATATGAAAGCGTTAACATCTTTTGATATCCGACCACAAAAACCAACTCAAATTCGTTGTCCAACCGATACTGGAGTGCCATTGAGTCGCTGTTCAATGTGTCCATACGGTCCTCGAGTATGACATTCTTAATGAGTTTATTGATATAACTATTCATACTATGGATTGTCTGGTTTACCGTTGCGAACAACACTATACCAGACTTACTAAATATCACAAAGAAGTCCAACATTTTTGTCAACAATCTGTGAAATATCACCACAAATGTCTTCAGTTAAACACCATTTAAATCAAACCACTAATACTTACTTATTTGTCACTCACTGTAATCACCGACAAACTAATCGATGATAATGTAAATGAAGTAATAAATCGATTGATTATATGTTTTAATAAAAAAATGTTTAAATAAATCAATAAATTATAACAAATGTAATGATGTGTTGTTGTGTTGTGTTGTGTTGTGTTGTGTTGTCTCTAAAATATAGTGTTTTAGTGTTTATAGTTTTAGTGTAATTAGGGTTAGATCAGATGCCATCCCTCGTCTTATTTTCCATAAGTTCCTTATATTCCCTGTTCCCTGGGAATTCCCTGGGAAGACATTTCCTTGTGGTACCACCTATCGTACCCTAACTCACTTTACATAATGTTTAATTAAAAACACGTTTGTATAGTAAATGTCTACAAAATGTATTTAATGTTTTTACTAAATATTTAATAATATTTGAATCATATTTTGATTGAGTTATTACTAACATACTGGTCCCAATTGAAGCACATAGTCATTGAGATTAGGTATTTTTTAATGCATGACAAATTATATATTCCCTTTCTAACGATCAAGGGAGGGAATATAATATATTTTCCATATTTTCCGGGAAAATTGGAGGTATTTTATTTGGGAACTTCCCTCCCTGGGAATCTCAATCTAACCCTAAGTGTAATAGTGTTTTACAATAAATGTTGTGTTGTTTACAGCAATGCATTGCATATTGTATTCAATAGTACTATATATTGAATGCAATGTTATTCAAGTCATACATATGAGTGGAACTCGTTTTTGGCACACATTTCCAACATTTAATTTAATACATATTTAATACACGTTTTGTACCTTTTTTTCCCAATACCTTAATATTGATAACAATTTGCCACATATACAGTAGTACTGTATATAAATAAATTAAGTTACAGTTTATATAAACTTAATAATCTTAATTAACTTTATATTGATTATACTGTACTATATATTAATGTATTGAAATTTGTCAAATACTAAAATCTTATAATAAGCTTAAAAGTAAAATTAAATTGATTATTAATTTAAACTTATCGATAAAAGCAAAATATACAGTATTTAGTCTATGATGTAATATGTATTAAATTATTATTTTTAATTATTATTATTACTTTAAAATCATACATAAAATATAAATAATTTTCTAAACAAATAATTTTTACAAAACGTAATGTTGGGAGAGAGTCTTAAACAGCGGCGGCGGCGATGCTATTAATTACAATTATCTGGTCAACAATAAATTTGATTAAAAAGTGACCAATGGCAATTTTGTAGATAATTTTAAACTAAATAAAATTGTAATTGGTCATTTTTTAATTAATTATATGATTGGCCAGATAATTGCAGTCGACTATCATTTATAAATTTTTTAAACAGTCATTAAACATAAATTATCTGGCCAATCATACAATTAATTTAAAAATGACCAGTTACAATTTTATTTAGTTTAAAATTATCTACAACATTGCCCTTGGTCACTTTTTAATCAAATTTATTGTTGACCCGATAATTGTAATTAATAGCATCGCCGCCGCCGCTGTTCTAGTCTGGGGTAAACTCTCCAAAATGTTGTATTCTGGGGGTAAGTCAGCCATACCTCCCAAATCGCAACCTTGATATTAATAAAGTATTTAAATTAATAAATGAAATATTTATTAAAATCCTTATAATTTTCACTGAATTGGATCAATTGGTTAGAATGGAAAATATATAATTTATAGATTATTATTATTATTACAATAAATAGAACTAAAATTTAAATATTTAGAATAAAATTTCATTGAAATATTCAAAAATAAATTTCAAATTCATAAATTTAGTCAAACTTTATTATTTATCAATACAACTCAATATAAAGTTTAATATAACATTTGTTTTTCAAATATTATAATAAAATGTGTTGTTTAGAGTTCAATATGTGGTAACACAAGGAAATAGATTCCCTGGGAATTCCCAGAGAGTACGGAACATAAGGAACTTTAGGAAAATAAGACGAGGGATGCAATCATTACAAACACTAATAATATTGAAAAATTACGATTTAGTCATTTATTTTATACTATAAATTAAATTATATTACATTATTATAATACAGTATTATGTGAATTGTAATAATAAAAATAGTAATCATTTAATCGATTAATTATAGCGTAGTATCCAATCATAAACTAATTGTAATCCCTTTCCCGTAAGACAACTGGTCTCATAAACAGTGATTTGTTGGTTAGGTAGTGATTGAATCAAGTTATCAATCATTAATAGATACATAATTTCATCTTTTCTTTGATTACAACATTTATCACATTTGTTGAGAATAACTAATATATGTTTAGTATTGATAACATTGGTATCGGACAACATCTGACACAATAAGACACAGGAGTCACCAATTGTGGACATATTAGTAGAATCGACTACAAAGACAATGGTTTGACTATCACTATAGTATTGATGCCATATTTCAGCCATAGAACCGCCTACTTCTTCAATGGTAATTGTTTTGGACTTAGTTTTAATAAAACCAATATTAGTTCCCACAGTTGGAACCGTTGACGGAATATCCAAATAGTTTGTCGCTTGAAATTCAATATTTTGTAAGCGTTTTAAAAGTAATGACTTTCCCGAAGCTGACTGTCCAACACATAAAATCATTGTTGTTATAGTAGTCTTACAATTTGCTTGATATAATTGTCATAAAACTACCATGATCAATTATCATCAATTATCATCAATTATTATTATACAGTATAAATATTCATTGACTTTTAACATGTATCGCTATGGCAACACTTTATTATAGACATCACACATCAAAAAATATAAACTAAACTTATTTTATACAAATTGTCACAATTTTTTGTCACAATTTTTGTCACAACTATAATATATATTTTTATCCTAAACTATGATATTATTGAGATATTGAAAAATCGTTACCATTTTATCCTTGATATTTAGTTTTTTTCAATTTTAATTATAATTTAAATTATTATTTTTATCAGCTAAAATATTGTACATTAATAAATAGTTTTATATAATATAATATATAATATAACCAGGGTTAAATAAGGGGGTAAGGCCAAAATACCCCCTAAGATCGAGATTTTGGGATTTTACCCCCCCTCCAGACTTTTTGACCAAATGGGAAAAATTGTCGCTTAAAAACGAGGAGAAATGACCGGCGAAAGGCGCCGAAATATTTTTAAGTTTTTAAAAATTTTAATTTTAATTAAAACTATTTTAGTACGTGTTTGTTTTTAAAATTTATATGAATCTAATTATTGATTAAAAATAAGTAAAAAAGTTAAAATAACGTTAAAACTCCTAAAAATAACATAATTTTAATTAAAATATTAAACTAAAAAATTAAAAATTACCTATTTGTTGAAAAGAATAATCATATTACAATTTAAATAGAAGTATAAGTTAGTTTAAGAAGTTAATAAAACAATAAATACTTATATTGTAAAGTTTTTATTAATAATTTATAAAATTTTAAATAAAAAAATTGAAAATATTTTCAATTTTATAATTAATATAACTAAAACTTTTACGAAAATTGAGTTAAATAATTAGTATTCAGTCAGTATTTGTATAAAAATAACATTAAAAAATAAAATAAATATCTATAAACTATAAACATTAAATATTATTAATTATTTTAAAAGTTAAAAATTACTAAAATACTAAAAAAAAACTCATAGTGTATCATTAATGCTTTTATCAACTATTTTTAGTATTAAATACATTATTATTTTATTTTTTGTTAAAATTTAAGTTTTTAGTTTTAATTTTTTTTGTATTGGAAATTTTACCTATTTTCCTGGGAATTTATACGGTAACTTATAGGAACTTTATCGAATTTACATGGGAATATTCGGGAATTTAAGGGAATTTTCTCTTGATTTTCGAGAATTTTGTAAATTTCACCTCGGTCTACCCCTCCCTAAAATCCAAAACCTTGCTTAACCCTGAATATAACTTTTAATTCTTCCTCCAAAATTGGAAACAGTTTTTCTTAACTATTATTTATTATTATTTTCAACATTTTATAATTTTAAATTAATTGTAGATTCAATTAATTAAATATACGTTTCAACAGTTTTCTATAATTAAACTATTTTTAAAATAATAAAAAATATTCGAAATTTATAAATAATACTGTATTTAAAAATGAATTATCAAATTACTTGAACTAAACTTTAAAATTGAAAAATTTCATTATAATAATGAATTGATTGCATTATAACGTTTTACTATTACATATAAATTTTAATCTTTAAACAATTTTGATATATTTAATAATTTAGTATTCAATTTACAGTACTTTATATATTATAATACATTTAAAACTTATCATAAACTGCTTATGCAATTCAAACACTAGTTTACATTACTATACTGTATTGTAATCTACAGTTCAATAGATTAACATTTATAATAACATTTTATTGATAATTTATTTACAATTTATAGATTTATCTAAACTTTAAATGTTTATAAATTGTGAATAAATAATATTTTAATATAAAATTGTTAACAATTTACAGTCGAAATCAATCGATATAACAGTGGGACCGAAATTTGCCTAAATTTGGATTCAAACGTTATTTATTATTTTAAACAAGAAAATTATTATTAATATTAATAAAGTTTGATATATAAAAAAGTACCGAAACTCTGGACACATGTATTATTAAATCGGCAAATATTACACATAATTGTTGTCTAATTGTATATGAATTGCAAATAATTAGCGGTAAGTAAATAGCAATTGATTTATCAAATGATATACTGTTTGTGATGTTTTGTGTAACAAATTGATCCAACATTTGAACACAGATTTGTCAGATAATTGTGTTTTTTTGTGGACATATTGTTGACCTAAAACAATGGTAACACCGGTTCCCGAGTCTATTGATTTCGCTAAAGAAGAGGAGAAAGTATTGTCGTTATGGAAGAGTTTGAACGCATTTGAGACAAGTCTAAAGCAGTCGTCAACGCGTCCAAGATATGTCTTTTTCGATGGCCCGCCATTTGCTACGGGACTGCCTCATTATGGCCATATACTTGCCGGTACTATCAAGGATATAATCCCCCGGTGGGCACATATGGAGGGACATCACGTTGAGCGTAGGTTTGGTTGGGACACACATGGATTGCCCGTTGAATACGAGATCGACAAGAAGTTAAACATTAAGAGTCCCGACGATGTCTACAAAATGGGAATCAAAGCATATAATGATGAATGTCGTAAAATTGTTATGAGATATGCATCGGATTGGGAACAGATAGTGACCCGATTGGGCCGTTGGATTGATTTTAAAAATGATTACAAGACATTATATCCGTCATATATGGAGAGTGTTTGGTGGGTCTTCAAACAGATCTTTAATAAAGGTCTTGTCTATCGGGGCGTCAAAGTGATGCCGTACTCGAGTGCTTGCAATACCCCGTTATCTAATTTTGAAAGCGGACTCAACTATAAGGAAGTGGTGGATCCGGCAATCATAGTTAGCTTTCCTTTAGATGAATCACCGGATGTGTCACTAATTGCTTGGACAACAACTCCGTGGACTTTGCCATCAAATCTTTTGCTTTGTGTTCACCCAGAGTTGGATTACGTAAAAGTAAAAGAGACAAAAACTGGCGCTCAATACATATTAATGGAGGCCCGACTCGAGGCTCTCTACAAGAAACCACAAGAATACACAGTCTTAGAGAAATTTAAAGGCAAGACTTTAGAGCACAAGTCGTATAAACCATTGTTTCCATACTTTGAACACTTGAAAGAAAATCACGCTTTCATTGTTGCCTGTGATACGTATGTGACGGCCGAAAGCGGTACGGGTGTTGTCCAATGCGCACCATATTTTGGTGAAGACGACTATCGGGTAGCACTCAATAATGGTGTCATTAAAAAGGATGGGGATGTTGTTTGTCCATTAGATGCCAGTTGTAAGTTTGTTGAACCAGTTGTTGATTATCTGGGAGTGTATGTCAAAGATGCCGATAAAGACATTATTAAACATTTGAAATCAATTGGAAGATTAGTGAATAACAGTACAGTTAAGCACAGTTATCCGTTTTGTTGGCGCTCAGAGACGCCACTTATTTATCGGGCTATTTCCTCGTGGTTTATCCGCGTTGAACATATGAATAATGCTCTCTTGGAGTCTAATGCCAGCACCTATTGGGTACCAGACTTTGTGAAAGAAAAACGGTTTGGCAATTGGCTTCGGGAAGCAAGAGATTGGTCCGTTTCTAGGAATAGGTATTGGGGAACACCTATACCTTTATGGATGAGTGATGATGGAGAGGAAGTTGTGTGCATTGGTTCTATTGAAGAGTTGGAACAATTGAGTGGACAAAAGATTACAGATTTGCATCGAGAAAACGTCGATCCAATTACAATCCCTTCACAATTAGGTAAAGGAAATTTGACTCGAGTTACTGAAGTATTTGATTGTTGGTTTGAATCGGGAAGTATGCCATATGCTCAGTCACATTACCCGTTTGAAAATCGAAAGATATTTGAAGACAACTTTCCGGCCGATTTTGTAGCTGAAGGGGTGGATCAAACTCGTGGCTGGTTTTATACTCTTGTAGTTTTGGGAACTATATTATTTGGCAAACCTCCTTTTAAGAATCTAATCTGTAACGGATTAGTGTTGGCAGCCGATGGCCAGAAAATGAGTAAAAGCAAAAAGAATTATCCCGACCCCATGGATGTGGTAAACAAGTATGGCGCCGATGCTTTGAGACTATATTTGATTAACTCGCCGATAGTAAGAGCAGAGAACTTGCGTTTCAGAGAGGAGGGCGTCCGCGACATATTGAAGGATGTGTTCCTTCCGTGGTATAACGCTTACCGATTCTTAGTACAGAATATTGAATGGTTTGAAAAACAGAATAACCAAAGCTTTGTTTACGACCAGTCAATGGTATTGACCTGTGATAACGTTATGGATAAATGGATTTCATCTTTCACTCAAAGTCTCGTCCGTTTTGTTAAGTCTGAAATGAAAGGTTTGAGTTAAAATTTATAGTACCGGTAATAAAAAATAATAATTTTTATTTTATAAATAGCATACCGACTCTATACAGTAGTTCCTCGACTTATAAAATTTGTCGATAATTTGACCAATTGGTACGTTAGGATGAATAGGAAACGTATAAAAGGTGATTATGGAAAGGATGATACAAATAAGGCATTGCATACACTGTTTAGTGTTTTAATGACAATGATTGAAATGATGGCACCTTTTACGCCATTTTTAACTGAACACATGTATCAAAATTTAAAGAATTTGATATCTGATAAATCAGTGGCAGAGAGTGTCCATTATTTATTGCATTCTCCCGTTCGCGAAGAGATAATTGATGAAATAGTTGAGAGACAGGTATCTTGTATGCAGTCTGTTATTGAAGTGGGAAGAGTATTAAGAGACCGAAAGACATTACCACTGAAGTATCCCTTACCCGATGTGGTTATTGTTAGCAAAGATGAAACTATTTTAAATGATGTCAAGACTCTCGAACGATATATTTTGGATGAACTAAATGTCAGAGAAATTATAGTAACGACTGAAAAGGATAAATACGGCATTCAATTGAAGGCCGAACCAGACATCAAAGCACTTGGACTTCGGCTAAGAAATGAGTCAAAAGCTGTTATCAAAGCTATTAAAGAATTAACTGATATTCAACTTCAAAGTTATCAGAATAATCCCAACGAATTTGAAATAACCGGACATCAATTAGTGGCCGGAGATATCAGAATACAGTATACTTTTGGAGGAGACTTGACTTCCGAGTTGTCAGATAAATATGTGGCTGAATCTGATGGTGATATTCTGGTATTACTTAATGTTAAGCCAGACTCGTGTATGATGGATGAGGGCATCTCTCGAGAAATTATAAATCGTATCCAAAAATTGCGTAAAAAAGCACAACTCGTGCCTTCAGATGATGTAACTGTTTATTATAAAGTGGATGAAAGTGGAGAGTTATATAGGATTATCAAACAATTCAATGAATTTATTGGCAATACATTGAAAGCACCCATAAAATCAATGCCCGTTCCTAACGATTGGCATATTGTTATTGAAGACAAACAGACCATCAAAGATGAGACCATTGAGTTCATCATTGGATCACAAAATGAAAAACTGGCGAATAATAAATAAATTGAGAAAAATTTGTTTTTAAAATATTTAATAATTATATGATTAAATTAAACCATTTTATATATTGAATATTTTTTAAAAATTTGTAAACACTTTAGTTAAAAAACAGATTAAAATTAATTTATATTAAATTATTTGATAATACATTTGATGTAATTATTTACATAGAGATGGCGTTTACTCGATAACCGACACAAGTGTTGAATATTTACATGTATTTTGTTGTCAATCAGTAAAACACCCAAACATTACATTTAAATTAAATAATTAATTGATTTAAATGTCATTTAATTGACTATCAATTAGACAATGACTTCATTGAAAACATTGAAGTATTTGTTTTGATGACAATCAAAGTTAATAATAATTATTATAAAATTAAATTGTTTTTAAAGTTTTAAATCAATTTTTAATTGTTTATAATTTAAGTGTAAAATAGTGGTGAAAATGCAATCAGAGTCACAGCCAACACGTCCGCCACGACTGACCCGTACTTCAAGTAAAGACGCGACGGTAAGTGTATGACTAATCAATACTACTATAGCAATATATTGGTTTGTCTTTAATCCAATATCTTTGTCAACACTTGTAGTCTGTCATAAAAGGAGGTCTATTAATGTCAGTGATTCGGACACTGACCTCATCGCGAGACTCGAGTGATAGGGACAGAGAGAAAGCAAACTTAGAGCGAGAATTCAAAGAGTGTGACCACAAGTTGTCTGAACTGGTGGTCTCACACCATCACGACTTGTTTCAAGTGATGTCCGCTTTTTCAAAGATATCACAACGTTTGAAACAATCGCGAGAACGAGTGGTCGTCACAAGAGATAAACTGCAAACGTGTCAGAAATTACTTCATTGCAAACGCGATGAACTCAAGAAGTTATGGTTGGAGTCCATCGAGAATAAAGTAGTTCTCGAGTTATTGGATAGAGTAGAGACAATGATGACTGTTCCGCAAAATGTTGATCAATATATACAACGTAAACATTATCTTCACGCCACTCGACTTGTGGTGAACTCATTGAAACAAATGGACACCGATTTGGTGGATGTGGATGCGCTTAAAGAAGTAAAGTCCGATTTGATTGATAAAAAAGAGTCGTTATATGAGTTAATTGTCGATGAATTACACAAACACTTATATATCCGATCGACAACTGATTTGATAAAACGATTCAAACGTCACGGATCTGTAAGACATACTTCAGACAACACTCCGGCCCGCAAAATGTCTGTCGCAGACATATTATCGCCGGCACTTCAGATTGGAGTTAATAAAAGTATTACTAATTTCTGTTGTTTTATCTATAAATTATATATTTTAATATATATTTCACCAGTAATTTAAAATATTTGTTTATTATTTAAGAACAACGAATACAATCGATGTCACAAATAGGCTTAACATCTGATGACTCTATCGAAGAGGACATTAATGTTAGCGATCCGGAAGAGGACAGCAAAAAATTTATATCTATTTTAATCAAATGTTTGGCACTATTAAACAAAATTCCGGAGTCTATAGACGTATGTTTTTATATTAAAACATTTTTAGATGTTATTATATAACTTATATAATAATATAATATATACTATATTTTTATAGATAATTAAGGAAAGATGTGATAAAGAGTTGACAAATATGGCTAAGCGAACGGGTCGTGAACTGACTGCCGATGCACCGGAACCTTCATCTGAGTGGACGGCCGATAGCAAAACGATTCCTTATGTCTTAAATTCTTCATCACTATTAGGAAATTACGAAAACAAACAAAAAACATCACATATTTTACAGAATTATTTTGATCTTTTGTTTCAACAATACCGGACAGTTGTCTTTTTGCACGATTCAGTGGTTTTAGCTAATCTTCAACGACTAGAAATGGATAAAAGTTTTAATATTGAAATTAATAATTTATATACAATTCCTGATATTTGGACTAAAGTTCAGATAATACTTCAATATGTTATGGACTTATATTTAGATACAAGTGGTGCTCATACCAGTGCTAAAGCAAATCATACGACTAATCAATCGACGACATCGACTAATGCAGTACCGGCTGATTTGTCGTCATATTTTGTTAAAAGGAGAGGTATTACAGCAGCTGTGACTACATTTAAAGCAAAGAAAGCGCCGTTATTTAGATTTGAGGACTCGTCGCACGCAATATCATTAAATGCATATTTAGCCGAACAAAAGGAAACTCTAAAAGATAAAAATGAAAACGAAGCCGAAGATAACATGGACTCAATTGACTTTACTCTAAACACATCAGATAAATATATTGTATATCCGCCACAACCGGACAACATTGTTGTCATATTTAATCCAATGATAAAATTTATTCGAGAGATCGAAGACGAACTTGAACTCGAAGATGGAAATCATTGTTTACTTTATTTATATTTAATTTCGTCTGCAAAAAGTTATTGCAATCAAATAACACACGATTTGGAGCGTACAATGGATTTGGCGAATAAAAGTTTAGATATTTGGAAATTACAAACAGATTCCGAGGTTTTATCTAATTTAGGTCTTAACCGACCTATTCTTCACAGTACAGCAATGATCGATAGAGCCGTTTTTGATTTGAAAAACTTGATGTTTGCGCTGCCATTATTTGCTGACGATTTTCTTACTCTTATCTGTAATTTATTATCCAATTATAAAGAGATATGTTTTTCCGCTTATAAGGGTATAGTACAGCCCGAACCCGAAGATAAACGAATTATATCCGCCACGTGGGCTAAGGACGAGGATATTAATAGATTCCTTAAATCATTGCCCAATTGGTCCACTTTATTGAGTGCTCAGTCAGAAAAACAACGAAAACCTCACATCCGAATGCTATCACAGGAATCTCGTATGACTTTTGATGAGTCACCTGAAGAGGTTAGACTAAGAAATATGAGGGAATCGGAAATATTGACGAGTAATTTGTCACAAGAATCTTCAATACCTAATCATGAAATATTATCAGATGTGGTTCAGCTTAGAATACTGGGTCAACTCCACCAATCAATGGAATGGTTAGGCAAGAGATGCGATGAGTTAGTTAACTCATTACCACAATCAAGTGATGGCAGCTTTTTGTCACCGTCTGTAACCGAACCTAAATCTAACTATGAATTTATGCCATTATCTGATGTTTCAATTGCAACCCTTAATCAATTGTCTCGTGATTTTGAAGAGTTAGCTGAGACGTGTTTACTTGTCCTACATTTGGAAGTACGTGTTCACTGTTTTTATCATATATTACCGATATCTCAAAGTTCATTCGCTATGGGTATCGACACACAAGAACCCGACCCAGAAGTGATCCGATTGAATAAAGACTTATCTGCTATTAATGAGGCACTGGATGTTGTTTTAGAGCCGTGGAAATTAAGATACATCTTTGAAGGTGTGGGACATTTGGTGGCAACTATTCTTATAAATACAACAAATAATATAAAGAGAGTCAATAGTAATGGCGTCAAAAAGATGTGTCGAAATATATTTGCAATACAACAGAGTTTGACCACAATTACAATGAGTCGCGAAGTGGCGCTCGACTACGCGCGTCAGTACTTTGAACTCTTTTATCACACCATCGATGAAATACTTACGATAATTGTTGAAAAGGGCGCACAGTTTCAGCTCAATGAATACATGTCTGCCATTACTTTATTACACAGAAGTATCACCGGTAGGGATCAACAGTCACTTGATTCGGCCATTAAAAGATTGACTGAAATCCTTAACGAAGTGGCAGTTTCTTTATAACTTTAGTTGCATTATTTAAATTTAATAAAAGCTTTATTTAAAGTTAAAATTAAGATAAATTAAGTTATAATTTTCTATTTAATAATACAAATATTTATTCTGTAAAAAGATTATCGCTATAGACTATTATCTGTAGGAAAATTTGCCAAACAGTTATAGAAATATTTGCTATTTTATGTCATTGATATAAAATGTTATAATAATTTTTAAAATTTTAATAAAACCTAAATAGATTTTTTTACTTAATTTAAAATATATTGTCTACAATATTTTATATTACATTTTTTTTAATTTAGAAATTATTTGTTTTGTTATTTTATAATTTACTATTTAAATTAAAAAAAACAATATAATATATTAATTTTCCAAAAAAGACTAACTTTAATGTTTTATTGCCACTATTTATTATACAGTACAATGAAAATATGTGTAGTCCATCAATAAATATAGTTTTAATACATGATTTGAATTGGCTAATTTTTTAAATAATATATAAAATTATCATTTTTATTTATTTGTAATGCAATAATGGTAACATATATTACTATTAATAAAAATACTAATTTATATCTAATTTGTAACATTTATAATTGAGAATATAATATTATTTATGAAATTATTGTTACTTAATTACATCCGAGTATTATAATTATAACGCATAACCTGTAATAGTGTATAAATAATATTTCTAACATGATAATTTTAATATTTTAATGTTATATATTTAGTTATATTTAATTGGTTATTTATTTTCACTTTTTTTAACAATAACTAGATTTCAGATTTAATTGAAAAGTCATTAATCTTTGTTTTATTTATTGCAAAAATCATTTCAGTGACCGAATTATGTTATTTTTTAAGAGATCAAAACTCTTGACAGAAAATAAGTAAATTATATTAATATGTAATCTTATTTTTAATTAAACAGTTGTCAAAATTTGTTACATAATCTCCAAACTAATTATAAGTACTGAGATCTCATAAACATTTTCTAATTTAAAGATATTATCAAAAAATAATAATATAATATAATATATCCTTATATTTCCGTTGGTATTTTTAAGTATTCAAGAAAGTTGTAAAACATTAAAAATAATTGTAAAAATAATAGCGATTTATTGCATGTGTGGCTGATTTTTTCATTGAACAGCTTATATAACAATTGTGTACATCTATTAGCTATTTTGTTTGCGTGAACTCTCTTATCGACTAACAATCAGTTTAAGCTAAAAGACTAATCATTAGGGAAAATAAGTCACACTTTGAGGAGCAAAGCCTTTGAGCCAAAAATGGGAATAAAAATTAAGACAATATATTATATATAGCTTTTGTAAATGAAATGTGATGTGAATCACAATTGCCTCCGATATTACCTTTTATGTGTTGCCATTAAATAAAAACAATAAATTTGCATAAAACTAAAATTAATTATAAATATTTAATTATTCGCGCTTTTTACGTTAAATATTAAATTTTTAATATTTTTTATTTATATTAAATAAATTATTATTATTGAATAAAACATAAATTATTCTATATTTAAAACAATTCATTAACATTTATTATTAACAAATTGTTAATAACAATTATTTAAAGTTTGATTGAAATATAATTTATATACGGTATTATATACGGTAAAAACATATATAACAATGTTAATATAAATTTAGTACAGTATTTTAAATTGAATATTCATTTATAAGATAATAATATTAATTTTATATCAATATAATTTAGTTTTTATTATTTATACTATAGTTTATTTTAATAAATTAAGTGATATGAATCATATGATACAAATGTGATAATTATTATTTATACTTCAATCGGAGGTCAATTGTGGTCAAACACACTACTTATAAGCAAACAAATATAACCAAAATATATCCTAAATTAGTTAATAAAAGTATTTTTAAATATTTAGATTTTATCACTAATAGTATTTAGCAGGAACAACAAATTGAAATTTTTACAATTTTATATATTTAATTAATTATTAGAAGTTATAAATTAAAATTATAATACAGACAATACGAAAACTCATTGACATCACGTTTGGTGGACATTACAAATAAACATAAATATTAACTAACATTTTATTTAGTTTTATATGAAAATATTATTTAAATTACTTTATTATAATTATAATCAAATAGTTATAGAGCTTAGTTATACAAAGTATGAAAATTGTAACCTATTTATTGTTTACCTTATAAAGATAGTGTTTGATTTTAAAGTAACTAAAATCCGGGTGAAAAAATGTATGAATAGAAAATATATTATTACATACGGTATACAACACTTGTATTTAAAAATAATTTATATATTAAAATTAAATAAGTATAAAGAATATTCCAAAACATAAACTTTATATTTTATGACACAATTTTATTTAATAATAATAACAATATTTTAGTTGATTCACTTTACAATATTTACAAAAAACGTATATATAATTTAATTATTGTGCGAAATTGTGATTTCTAAACATTAATCAAAAATATCAAATTATTACAAACCTAGTGATAACTCAATCATTTTTATTATATAATATCCGACAGTAAAATATCCGACTAAATAACATGTTTAGCAACTTTAATGAATGTTTGGCACACGCACTTCAATTGTAACATTATTTTAGATTTAATAGATTATATAAATTTATATAAATATAGACTGATTGTCACAATTAAAAAATAGTGAGATAATGATAAAGATAGCAATTGTCGCTATTATTAGCATAATTATAAATAAATTATATAATAAAACTTAATGACATTACTTTAGGGCTTATTATGATTAAAGAGAAGAATATAAAAGGGTTATAAAGGTTTTCGTTATTATATAATATAATGTATTAATAATTTATGTTATCCTTGAAATAGACTAATATTTTTAATTCTTGTTATAATTAAACAAATTTTTATTATTACAAATTGACTCAGTTTACAATTCAATAGGGATTGTTACTCATTACACCATGCATTTAGTTTTAGTAGACTTTTAAAACTTATTATCAATTACTATTTTATGGCAAACATTAATTACTAATTATTAGTATATAATTAGCAAAATATTTTAACAAAATCACTTAAATATGTAATTACAACTGAACCATATATAAAAATAATATATTAATAAAAAATTGAGAAAAAATAAACTTAGATATTTAAAAATTAAAATATGTTTTATATACAGTTTAACTACTATAGTAATAGCTATAATAATCAATTGATAACAAATAAAAATACCTCAATATAAACAGAAATAAAATTATATTAATTTTGCATTAAATAGAAAATTTATTAGATGACTAAATATTATATATACAGGTATATAATAAAATGGTATATTATATGACACAAAAATCATTATTTTAAAATATTTTATTTAATAATTATAAAAAATAACAATTTATATTTCATTAATATAAATTAAAAAGAATTATAGTTTTAAAGTTGTATTTTAATTTGACTAAAATTTGTACATTTATTGGACAAAATTAATTAATATAGTTCAGTATATACTTCGATATACCTCTTGATAAATATTTAAAATACAATAATTTTAGGTGTAATAGATATTGCAAAATCTTATAATATACCTATAAGTATAAAATATGCAATTTGTATATTTTAAATTATATATCATAATATTGCATGTATCCCATATATAATTAATTTTTCTTATAGATTAAAATATATAAATTTACTTTTAAAGTATATACTTATATACTTTACTTTGAGTCACTTTAATTAAAATTAAAATAAATAGTATTTTTAGTTCAATAGAAAAATTATATAAAATAGCTGTTATGTCATACTGTTTGCCTCTTTTGTCTACCGATGAAAAGGCTATGAAGTGAATAATAATGTAATAAAAATAAAAATGTTTGGCAAATATTATTTACATTTTTTTTATTCACTATTACAACAATTTGTGTTAAATCATAATATGTAAGATATTATTTGAATGAAAGGCAAAATTTTGACATTTATCGTAAAATAAAATAATTTTAATATGTTTCAATTTTATTTATTTCCATGATATTGTATAAAATTATTATTATTATTATTAATAAAAATATTTCAATTAACTAAAATATTAATTCATTATAATTTTAAAAGTATTTTAATATTTAAAATAGTTTAAAAATTTTATATTAACTATATGTTATATTAATAATTAGTGAATTACCTGTATACTTAAATAATCAAAATTATTATTTTTAAAATACTAAAATAAACTAATATATAAATAAAAATATTTAACTAATGTTTTTAAAAATAAAATACAATATATTTTATATTATATGACATCATGTGCTGAGAAATTCTTGATAATCATCACAACAAATAAATCACTAGTTTTTTAAATAACAATACATTGCATTAGATTTTAATATTAATAGTTTATTACAAACACTGCACCAAATGTTTGCATTAATTTATTGTTAAAAACATATCGTATGTTAGGAAATAAATTGAAGACAATGGTATAAATATATTGTATAATTGTTTAAAAATATTGTATAATCTAATTGAAGAAAATAGTTATCATTAATTGATGTCAAAAAAATTTGTGCCGAATTGCAAAAGGAATTACTTTATATAAAAGAGTTTATAAATAAGTTTATATTATTATATGATAAGCAAAAATAATAACATCATATGTATTATCAAATAAAGTTAGAAAATAAACATCAAATTAATTCAATTGTATGCATAAGTGTATGGGTGGGCCCCTAACCCCTCATACGTACTATACATCGATGTCTAAGTGGTATAAAGTATTAAATCGGTGTAAATGTATTGCCGATGACTGCAATGCATTGTACGCACAATCAGTTTGTATGCCATGTATTGAATCGATTGGTTCGCCGGCAATGAGTTGTTGTTGTAATACATTTGCAGTCAAGCATTGAATGACATTAAAAACATAACAAAATGTTTTGACTTTTTATTAGATCATAAAAACACATACTTTCACCAAAACATTCAATTTTCATATCATTTTTTGATTTATTTATTGATTAATGTTTATTGTGTTTTATCTTATTTGTGTTTTAATTGATTTATCCCATTGAGTGTACATTTATAAACAGCCATCAGTGGACAGCCATCAGTGGACAGACAGCCCTAAACAGTATGTATTTGTTATCAATTTATGACATCACATGATATTATAGTGTATTTCAATAGTAATTGAATTATAGTCGGCTTAACACAAATTATCAAATATATAACATTTGATGATAACATTGAATATATTGTTTATATTAAAATGTTATTTAATAAACATTTCAATTGAAAATATATGTGCAAACAATTTATGCCATTTTTGTTACAATAATCATATGTCTGTAATCAACAAAATATAATACAATATTTCAATCGATCGATAGTTTATAGTAAAACGTTATTAATTTTGAATAAAATATAAGAAAATGATTAAAATAATGTTTTTATTGTTATTTTCTTATAATTAAAACTAAATTTATAGATTAATAAATTGTCTGTTAATTGTTAAATAATAATTTTAATGTTTAATAATTAAAAACATTGACACAAAAACGATTATAATATATTAAATTATTTATTTATTTTATAATTTTAGTATTTATTTTTCACATAGTTTTCCTATGAATTCATCCCATAAATTGCAGTTTATTAACAAATTATTATTTAATTTTCCTTCAATTTTTCATTAATTTAATTATTAACAATTATTATACTAATATTAATAAATAAATGTACAAATAATATATATCTAACTAAAACGCATATAACGTGGTTAAAAATAATATAAATTTTTTAGTTTTTAAATTGTTTTATTTATATTTTAATAGTTTTTATCTAATAAATAAATGGTTTTCTCTAATACAATGGATTTAAAAAGTATTTTAATTTATTTTGCTTTATAGTTATATCTTTTATTATTTTACTGCTTTTATTGCTGTGTTTGATTTGATTAATAGATTTATAGTATATTGTTAAACTAATGTATTTTATACTATAATTTACCACATTTTAAACATTTTATTTCTATATTATTTTGTATGATTTTTAATATAATAGTAATTTTTAAAAAGTAACGAAAAACAAAAATAAGTTTAATAGTTTTAGATAAAATGTCTTATTTTTAGATACTATTTATGTTTTATGTGAAAAATTTATATTTTATAAAATCTCGTTTGAATTTGACTTTTTGGAGATATTTAATAACCGAAACTAATAAACAGATATAGTGTTATAGTGTTTTAAGTTATTTAAAATATGGACAGTCGTGTCATGAAAAATCATGACTTAGTTGTCTTACAGTTATTTTATTTAAATACTTTATATAAAATTATTTATTTAAGTTTTTAATAGATTATAAATTTATTAATTTTATGTGTATCACCAATAATGCTATTTTTACTTTATTAATAATTAATTATATTTATTGTTTTGGGTAAAAAATAATGTTTATTATTTTATTACAGAAAAATAGGACAAATTTTGTGAAAATTATTTATTCATTAATGAGGAGAATAATTAAATGAGATTTTCTTATTTTTGTAACTAAGATCCACAGTATTATAAATAAACGGTTAATTTGTAAACCAATTTTGTTTTTTAAACAAGTATTTACAATATATACAAATATAGATAACACAATAAATATGGATTTATTTATACATTAAATAATAAATTTAATTTTTTAGTTACATTTGAAAATATAAGACTTAATTCATGAGTTATTCATTAATTATGTATTCAACAAATACTAAGGCGTTTACAATAAAATGCAAACAATATATTAATTTATAAAATTATGAGTACAACAGATATAACAATTAATACTGTATATGATTACTATAACAGTATATATGTTAATATATGGCCTGTTATATGTTTTTATAAATTATGATCTAAATGAGTCCTAATAAAAATAAGAAAATTTTATTCAACATTTAATTATTATATAAGTAAAGTATAAGTATATTCAAGATATGAGGACTTTATTTAAATATCTTATTAGTGTTTAATATGATTTATATATATTATATACTATATATATGAATTAATTAAATATATTTATTATATGAATAGATTATATAACTTGATTATCATACAAATTGTATGATACAATTGTATTATGGGTTTTAGTGTTAGTTAATTCAGTTTAAGGATTATATATTTGTAACATTAAATCTTACACTAATTGATACTAATCACTAAAATCGATGGATTTTTATTAAAAAATTATTGCAACAAATTATAGATATTAGTTATTTTATGTATTTTATGATGTATTTCTGTTAATAACTTTATCTTATTGTTTTGATTTATTGTCAACAATATTTAATTAACTTTTTAATATTTCAATTGGTTAATAATTATTTTTAACTAAAATTTAAATAAGAAATTATCATTCACATACAATTAATATAAAGCTTATAGTTTATTATAAATATAGAGTATTAGAGAAGAATATTTTGCAAAACTTGTTTGAATTTAATAAAAGGTAACCCCTTTTAAATTGCATAAAATAAATTGTATATTTTGTTAGTAAATACGGTACAAATATTTCTTAAAATAAGTTATTTTTATGATAGTTATATAAAACATACAGTATATGATTGTTTTGTGGAAAATCGCATATATTTATAGTTATCGATATAATAATTTTTCGGTCACCAACCTATCATTTATGCCAATTTCTTTAATAGACTAAAAAAGACTCACAATTGATAGCATAGTTTTAATTATTAATTTAATAGTTAAAAAATTTATTTAGATGGATGATTAGCTAATGTTATTTAATTTATGTAAAGTTACATTGATAATACCTAAAATTCTATTAACATAAATTTATTTTTAATTTTTATCCTTATTAAAAAACAATGATTTTACAAGTTAAAGTCAATATATTTTATATTTATAAATATTAATAAAGTAATAATTTACTAAATATATTGTTTTATGTAACTATAAGTGAAACAAAAACTAATATAATTTATTAAATATATAAATAATGATGATTTGTAGTACAAATAACTGATTTGATTTCAAGTGATTATAGTATGTCTTCAATAGACTTCTTGCAAGTCATTAATCTGTGTTTTTGTGTTTCACTCGTCACTCACCAAACATAGACACCTCTGTCTGTGACCCCGTTATTCGTTAAGCTTTCCTTATTATTAACAAAACGTTATTAATTATAAAGTTATCATTAATTTGTTATATTTCTAAATAAATTATTTTGAAAATTTATATAATATATATTGCATTATAAGTAAAATAATTGTCGAAGACTACCATCAAAGTACTATTGATATGTTTATTAGACTTAATTTCGGGACCCAATTCCACAGGAATACCAATTAGAGCTCAAAACATAAAACGGTTCGGTTTTCTATCATTTTTGTAATTTACAATATTTTATAATAAAATTTATTTATTTATTGTTTAAGTTAATTTAACTTATATGCTTTCCATACATTAATACTAATTGTAAATTTCATACTGTACATTATAGATCTGAATAATTTAATTATTTAAACAAATAATAAGTTATTGTATTAACAATTAGGCGTTGTTCACATATTACGTTCGCACTTGAGGGGAGGGGGGTTAGCCAAAGCGAACTTTTGCGAACGAGGGGAGGGGAGGGGTAGAGACTTTAAGAACGTTCGCATTTAGATAATATCTTGTGATGGGGGGGGGTTAGGGATAAGCGAACAATATTTTTAAATGACTACACGAACATAACATAGGGGAGGGAGGGGGTCTAGATTTCTTAAAAAGTGCGAACGTAATATGTGAACCACGCCTTATATATCAATAATACTTTCAAAATAAGATAGAATTAAATAATATATCTCATCTAATATTAATATTATTAGTTTATCAAAAATAGTCATAAAATAGTTTTTTGAAAGCAATTTTAATAATCACTGTTTAGCTCTTAAATTATTTCTTGTATTTATTACATATGATTTAAATGAGATATCAATCAGTGCTTATTAAATGAAGCTATAGTTTTATTGATAATTATTTGTTAATTATAAAATTTATTATTTATATAATAGAAATTTAATATACAATTATACCATACTGTATGGTATAATAAAGGGATTAAACGAAAAATATATTTAAATAAAGAGATTCTTAAACAGCGGCGTTAATATTATTTTCAATTATATGGTCAACAATACGTTGGATTTAAAAGTGACCAAGGGCAATATTGTAGATAATTTTAAACTAAATAAGATTGTAATTGGTCATTTTTTAATTTATTCTATGATTGGCCATATAATATACAGTCGACTGTTAAAAAATTGTAAAAATTATAGTCGACTGAAATTATCTGCCCAATCATGCAATTAATTAAAAAATGACCAATTACAATCTTATTTAGTTTAAAATTATCTACAATATTGCCCTTGGTCACTTTTAAATCCAACGTATTGTTGACCATATAATTGAAAATAATAGCATCGCTGCTGTCATCGCCGGCGCCGCTGTTTAAGACACTCTGATATACAGTAAATACAGGACAGGGATTCCACATGAATATGACTACTCTTAATGTAAAGTTTTAATGTATTGATGTATTGATGTATTGATGTATTCAATATATTCTAATACATAAACCAATAATATTCAATATAAAGCAGTTTTAATGCTAACCTTATTATCAAATGATATATATTTTAAAAATGTTACAAAAATATTGATCTATCACTATAATTAATAAATAATATATAAATGTTACAATAGATAATTTTAATAAATATTAGGATGTAAAATATAAATCAAGTTCAATAATTATATGGAAATATTGATGTCATATTGTAAAGAGTTGATTGGCCACAATGTCAATCATTTTCTATATTTATATCAAATCTCATATTTTTATATTGCATTTCCGATCGTCTATTTTTAGTTAGTATTAATCATTCAAATAATCTCTTTAAATGTATGTATTTGAGTCCAACTGGTTTTCATTTGAACAGTTATGTAATCTCTCAGTCAATTGTTAACACAAATATTATTTTTTGTTGTAAATTAAACGTCATATATATACTGTATATATATTTCAATATATACAGTATATTAATGATTAAATATATAGTTGATTATTGATATGATTATGCAAATTGAAGTTTCAATATAATAAGATAGAGTAGTAATACGATAGTAATAATTATTGACAATTTGTGAATTTAATTTGTTATAGACGTTATTGATGTTTATATTTGTAATAGAGTTTTGTATGTATTAATAATAAATATTGACAACACTTACACAGTGTATATGGTATAGCATTACAGTCTATCCATATTTAGTACCCATTTTGGTTGAGACTAGTGATCATCACAATTGATTCAATCAATTACTTAATAAGTGATGAATTAATAATTTATGTCATGTTTTCATATTTTATTTATTTATATAATCAAAGTTTTATCATTCAAATAGTAAATTTGTTCACAATTTGTTTAAATATTAATCAAATATCATATTAATATTAATTTATATTTATTAATAATTGTTTTTCACTTTACGGTTAGTTAAGATACATATGATATAAATATCAAAATATTATTTAAATTAATATTGTGTTGAAAATTGGTGTCAAATAGTGATGAATAGCATCTGATATGAAGTGTTAAGACTGTAATTGATTTGAAAATAGTTAACAATTAAATAGATTTTCTGTGATATCAACATATGATAAGCAATGAGTAAATAAATGAATTGATTGTATATATTATTAATAATATTAGTATGTATTGTGTCTGTGATGTACAGGTGATGAGCACATCCCGTCTGTGAGCAGTTGCAGTATATCGATAGCCTCATCCACACCAATGTCACTATCATCGAGTCGACCGCCCTCTCAGGCCAACGATAGCACTGGTAGGTCCCCTATTGTATCATTAGTATGACTAACCATAAGATACTGTTTGTATTAACTTAGTTGTCATAACACATGTAAGTTATACAGTATATCATATGATATATAAAAGTTAGATAACATTTGCTTTCAATGTTTGCTTTAAACCTTAACCTCAATGATAGGCCACTACTTTGATGCCAAACAAATGAGTCTCTTTCCAATTACTACCGGTGCTGACGATAGTACTGAACAAATAAATAATACAAACTGTCTGTGCGCTGATGTGTGTCCTTACAGTCAAAGGAAACGTCAGATAACTAATAATAACACTTTTAATAATAAAAACAATAAAATTAATGATAATTATAGCGCTTCTCGTTATCCTTTTATGGATGCATTAGATTTGCAAATGTCTGAAAATAATAATTATAATAAAAGACAAAATAACAACAAAATAAGTTTTTCAAATCCAACGACACCAATGAGCGGTAAATACCATTAAGATAGAGACAGACTTATAATTTTAATTCAATAAAAAATAAATTTATTTCTCGTTAATACCTTATTTGTTATGTATAACCCATATTTACAAATCTATTATTTTACTTAAAGTATATATTAGTTTTATAGTTTAATTCATTAACTGTTAATAAACAAAAGATAAGATGTTATTATTCATTAATTTTTACTTATTTTGTTATGACGTTAACCATTAATATAAGGAAAAATAGCAATAAATAGAGATCAAGAAAATTGCTTAACACATAATATGATGAATTAAATGATAATAATATAGAAACTATTATCTAATACCTTATATGTAGATACCTATTGGTTTGCACATTCAGGTTTTGAACCTGTTGTGACTCCCGACACAGGTATGCAAACTATTTCAATATATGTTATCACACAATATATACAATTTATAAATTTATAGATATGTTTATATTAATAGTATTTATCAAAACATAAAATATCATTTAATATAATGCCTCTTAACTTACGGCATCATTGCATGAATTGTTTCATAATAGTCTCACTGCTAACTTTTGTAAATATATTTTTAATGATTTATTTTGTTAATGCTTTTATTTTTTATTACAACATTTTGTTATTGAATTTAAGTATCAACTAATATGTTTGATATTAAAGTGCAATAAAAGTGATGACAAGTAACTGTAAAAAATAAACAATATTTATTTTTTGAAACATTTAAAATTATGAATTATATTAAAGTTTAGAAAATAAATATTACATTTAATGATTATTATTTATCAGTCATGATTTTCTAGAGTATATTATTTATTTAAATTAATTTATTGAATATACTTTATTTAAAAATCTTATTAACATTAATATTTGCTTTTGTTTTGTTATACTGATTGCCGATCAGTTGTTAATATTATATTACAGTAATACTTATGTTAAAACATGTTTAAAATATTTAAAATAAAGAATTTTTTATTGAATTGATTTGCATGTAATTATCGTGTATTCAATGTACTTGTTTTAGACTCATTATGTGAATGAATGGCATATGTATTGATAATTATTTTCAAAGTCAAGTACTTTTTCACGAATTAATTTGAAAATCAATTGAAAATGAGTTGTTTTTAAAGTAATAGAATATGTGTTTAATAATATGTTTATTTGTTTATCTATTTTCTGATATATCATAATCTTTAAAGACGGAAGGGATGGCTTAAAATTTGAAGAAAAACTAAGAATATGTCGTGAAAAACAAGAAGAAGATAAACAAAGACGTCTTCATGAGTTTGAGATGTCTGCACAACAGGTCGACTATAATACTATTATTAACTTTATTATTGATTATTTAATTTTATGATATTGTGGTTTTTGTTTTGTTATATTTGAAACAAATTTATTGATTTCTATTGTTGGTTATATGATATTGTGATACTTATTGTGGTTTACGTTTTGATTGATTTGGTAACAAAACCTACAGAAAGAGAGATATCGACAACAAGTAGAGGAAGAGCGCCGTCGAAGGATTGATGAATTGAAGGTCAAGGACTTAGAGAAGAGGAATGCCGTCGAAGAACGCAAAAGACTCATTTGGGAAGCGGAACAGGTATTGCATGTCATGTCTCATCTCATGTTTGCATTTTATTTTTAAATTTTAATTAAATAATTTTTAATGTGTTATATATTGAATTTATTATCAATTTATTAACGAAATGATTGACACTTAAATACATAATATTTGATAAGTAGCGGTAAATATATGATTTGTTTTGTTATTTAATTGAAGGAACGTAAGGAAGCGATGCTTCGTCGGAGTGTAGATAGAGATAACAAATTATCTGCTAAACGACTGGCCCAACGAAATAACACGAGTTTCGTGTTCGGCAGCTCTACGCCCCGTACTCTCGACTTAGACTTACCGGCTATCGGTGTGTCTCGCAATCAGACATTACTATATGCGACACCAAATCGTATCAACCATTCAGATGATAATTCCAAACGACGACCAATTTCTGCATATTATTCCGATGATTACAATAACAGTATGTATTGATAAATATATATTCAACTAAAGTATTCAACAAATAAAGCACTTTATAGTTAACATTTATTTTTATTCACTAAATTAATTTCAAAATGAAACTTAAAATGAAGTTTCAAATGCAAATCCTGTTAAACCAACTGAGACTACCTATCCGTTAATTACTACTACTACTACTACTTCCAATGCCGATACTTATGATTACCTGAGAAATACATATAAATACCGGAGCGCTCTTTACTCAGAGCAGACCAGAGCTTGTTTGACAATGTTTGACAATTCTGGTCATGACTTTAATGTGAAAAATGTTCGCCAGAGTTCAGCTGCCGGTGCCGGTGAGTCCAAATGATAAGCCCAACCGTGTGTCGAGTCTTAAAACTGTCGTTCCTAATGTTATTTAACAATATTGTATTTTCATATTTTCCACATCTTTTAACTTCAATCTTTTAAATCATTTATTTTTAACACAAACCTATTTTTGCACGATTTTGACACTTAAATATACAATAAAAATATTTTACTCATTCTATAAATATAATTCAAATTTCAACCAAAAATATTGAACTCCTGTGTCAAAAGGTTGTTAGCTTTAGCTTATTAAGCATGCATTTCACTGTTGAAACCATTATATTGTAAATAATCCATTGAATTGTCATAAATATTAAATCTTAACATTAGTTGATAAGTATTAAATTTAGCTCATTTGACAGCTTATCATAATTGATGAATTGAATTTTACTGTCAAAGTCTATATACTAATGATTTTTCAATGTCTTAATATTACTTAACGATAATTTTTAAACTTTTTGGCAAATTAATAAATTTATTAATAATTAATGGCTTAAAGTACTTATTTGGGCAATTGGTGTTTTTATTTATTTTAAATCAATTAGAGTTGCTCCATATTTGCTGCTAAAACATTGCGTTAAAATAGTTTACTTTATATTATATTGTTATAAACAAATCATTTAAGCGATGCTTTAAGCAATTTATTTTTTAACAGTTATATTAAATTTTTTTATTTTTTCAATGCTTTATTAAATTTTTATTAAATGACTGGTGTGTTGGTGTGTGTCGGCTATACAAACATTAGTTTGACCTCTTATTAGATATTAAAAAATTGTTACTCTTTATTGTTAATTGTTTAGTTTATTGTTAATTATTGAATTTAATTGATATACTAAAATGATTTGTTTGAATAGATTTTAGTTAATAACAATTAACAACTTTTTTTGGAATAATTTTTAAATCACAAGCAATTATACTCCACATTACTGTATCAATGAATTACTGTCACTAATGAGATCTTTATATATATATCTGATAACACTTTTAATTAAATGTTTTTCATTTAATTATAATAAATATCATAAATATTAATGGATTTGTGATTTACATTGCAGAAGATAGTCTGATGACACAATCACTAGTCTCCCTTCAGGGTGTATCACGAGGTCGTGTCCATCACACGGAGTTGACACCAGTGATGCCGAGAGAGCGTATATTTGCCTCTTCAACCAGTCGTATAAATCGTGACAATAACCGCTTGATTGGAACCGATTCGGTAAAATGTACACCAAAACGTGCTGTCAGTATGACTCGTTTGGATCAATTGGCACAACCGAGACGTCGATACTTAGAGGAGACTCTGAAATCCAATACTAACTTAAGCGGTAATAAGTGTAACAGTAATCTAACCATTAGTCTGTCCACAAAAAGCATGTCTAACCTGAGCACTAACACACTTAATAATAATAATAATAAGCGCTCGCATCCGAGTTTTGTGCGACAATCGTTAAGAAAAGGCAGATTCAATAAAAGCATGACTCACTTGACAAACAATCAGATGAATAATAATAATAATTATTATAATAACAGTATTAATAAAACACAAAACGATAGTTATTTTACTAAACAAAACAAAGAGATATCCAAAAGTATGGTCCAATTGTCTGCTCGACCGCCACCAGCGCCTCCACGACAGACAAGGGCTTCCAAATTGCGATCACAAACTCAAACATTACGTAATTCCAGATCTTCATTGACACAGAACTCCGACTGTAAGTATTAGTGCTCTTAAGACTATCACTTGAAAAGAGCCAAATAAACCAATTATTATAAGAAAGTCTGATCTAAAGAAAATGACAGCTCTCATCCCCGTAACTGTCGGGTCTATCAATGCTTGTGCTGGTGGTGGAGGCAAAGAGTCGCAATTCATATTTAATTTTATAATCCCTGTCCTCGACTTTACTATTTCATTGTATTGCTATTTAATAAGTAATATGAGTTTAATTTTTGCTTTAGTTGTGACTATTAGGGCATAGTTTGTTATAAACTGAAATATAAAGCGCTTAAATAATTTTAAATTTATTATTAGATTTACTAATCCATAATTATATATGTATTACTAATCACTGATCAGTTAACTCAAGAGATTCACTTTCACCAACTCGACCCATGTCTTCACAATCAGGTTCAATGGAGGTTTCAGAAGTCAAACGAAGAGTTAAACCAGTAGTTGCACGAAAGCCAAGACCACTTAGTATTGGCAGTCCTTATGCTGTGAGAGTTAAAGTTGAAGACAAAGTAACAGAACCGACAGCTTCTGCCTTTAGAGGAAGTCGTTCTCAAGACAAACAGCCACAATCAGTGCCACAAATGAGACACAATAGAGCTAAAAGTGCAACCGGAGCACCGCGTCCACTATCATTAATATCTCCTGACAGTCCTACTCCTAAACCAACTCCACCGCGAAAACCGGCTCATGTCAAAGCAGCGGCAATGGCCAGAAAAGCTAACAAACAGCTGAATGTAGATAATGTCGAACAGATTACTTCACCAATTGATAGTGGAAACGATTCGCCGGTTATTTCCAAACAAAATTCTATAGAAAGTCCTGTGCCATCAAATGAGTCAAAGGCTATCGAAACTACTATTTCTRCAATTAATGACGATATGAATTCCAGTTTTGTGGTTAACTCCAGTAAAAAGGAAGTATCAGAAGAGGAATATAAGAAAATGATGGCCGAGAAGCGAAAACAGGCGCGAGAACAGGCGGAAAAAGAGGCAGAGATTGAGAGACAACGAATTGAAAGAGAGAAACGAGAAGAAGATGAGAAGATTCGTAAAGAAGAAGAAGAGCAGAAACGTCTAGAAGAAGAACAACTTAGACTTATTGAGACACAGAGGAAAGCCGAAGAAGAACGACTCAATAAAGCTATGGAAGAAAATAGACTTCGAGAAGAAGAAGAAAACAGACGTAAAATTGAAGAACAAAGAGTTAGACAGGAAAAAGAAGATAAGGAAAAGCGAGCTAAAGAAGAGGCAGAACAACAGCGTCGAGAACTTGAAGAACGTCTCAAACGAGACGAAGAGGAACGGTTGGCCCGCAAAAAGGTATTTCTTTAATATTTTTATTTATTAATATTAATTAGTATTTATTAATATATTACAGAAATTAGAAGCCATAATGAGTCGGACCCGCAAAACTGCGTCCTCTCCTCGTGTGGAGTCTCCTTCTTCTCCTAACGAAACTCCCGAACCTAATGACCATTCAAATTATAGTACACCCGAAAAAAATCGAGAAATATCTAAAAATCAACAAAATATTATTTTGAATGAACAGAAAAGTGATGATTTAATTATAATTAATACAACAAAACAACAAAAACCTGATTTAGTTGAAGATGTCAACAGAGCGGTCAATAATAAGCAAAATAATACTTTACTTTATAATCACAATAATGTAAATAATAATTATCGTATCGATAATAGTAATAATGCCCAGTGTTTAGAGTCGTCTGAAAATCTGTTAGACCTAAACAGCTCATCAAATAATATATCATTAGATCAGTTAATTAATATAAATTATTCGCAACCAATTGGAGGTGACTTAAACTCTAATCCTTTTTCTAACGGAAATGCATTTACTAACGGTGCGAATCGTAAAAGTCAAGAACAACAACAACCCATCACAGGTATTATTATTATTATTTGTATTATTAAATATTGATTAATGTTTTCATTTTTTTAGATCTACTTTCTTAATGTTGACTAAATATTTGAGAAATTATAATTCAATTTTAATTTTAATTTTAATTTGAAATTTTAATTTAATTTTTTTTTAATTTCGACGCTTTTATGTTTTTAATATAGAAATATATAAATTGCTTGAAAGAATGTAATGTTATGTTATTGTCATTACAATGTGTAGGATATAATCAATTATATCATATAACAAACAAAATGACACAAAACTGTAGTTATAAAATTAAATAATTGTTTTTACAGAAATGTATTTATAAAACATAATTATAACATTAAACAATACTATATAAGAAAGACTTAAATTCAAATCAATGATTGTTATGATTATTGATTTTGAACTGATTGTTGTATTTAATGATTGGTCACACAAGCATTTTATGACTCAATAAAATGTCATTAATTGTTGTTTTGACCTTAAATTTGAACTCAAAAATTGATTGATATATGTGTTATCTTATACTGTAGTATTAAATTTATTTCTATCATCAAACTATAATTATAATTGAAATGTCTGTTAATTAGTTAAAAGTGCATTCAAAACTACATTACTAAAACTATAAATTTATGAATCAAAACTATGTTAATTAATAATTATGATAACTTAGTATATCAAATATTAAATATATGTTTGCTCACATTACCTTATTATCACAAATCTATAACTTTTTTCATTAACTTTTAATATTATATTTTTGAAAAAATAATTTAAAGTGCTTTTGTGATTAATTAATGAAATAATCAATAAAAAATAGAAAATATTTTAATTTCAATTTAATGTTCTCACTTGAAAACAAAAATAATTGCTTTTAATCTAGATATTAAATTTTTAAGTCATAGATTTATTTATAAAAACATTTGTTTAGATGACTCCTTTTTTATTAAACAATTTTGTAAATCATATACACAATCGTTTTATGTCATTTCATTATAATAATAAACAATTAATTAAAACCATTAACTGTATTACTTTTACTAATATATTAATGCATTATTATTTATGCTGACATCAGGTAATTTAGATAAAAATTATTTATTTTTTGCATTTAATGGTAATAATTTTTTACGCATTAATTTTATTTAAATTAAATTTTATTTTAATGATTAAATTAAGATAAAAATTAGATTAATATACAAATAAATATTTATTAATGAATCGAACTGTTTGTACTGAAAATATATTAAAGTTGATATAGAAATACATTCAAATGAAATACAAATTAATTAAAAACTAATAATTTATTACAAGTTATAAGAAGTATAATAAGTATAACAGATTAATGACATAATTCACTAAAAAAACTAAGTATTACTAAACTATACTTTGAATGATACGATTATTAAAAATCATAATTAAAGTGTTAAAAAACCACAATATTAATTGAAAAATAATTAAAAGATCACAAATATGTGTCACAAGTGAATGTAAAAGCTATTAAGTCTACTAAATAGTATTAATAAAGATCTGAATTAACAATACATAGATTATATAATTATAACAATATGTGATTTTAAGACATCTTTATAAGTGTATTAAAAATAGTTGACAAAACAATTGATAGATTTGTTAGTATTTCTCGCTATGCGATACCTCAACCACAGCTGACGCGGGCTGAGAGTTGACGGCGTCGTGTTGTGAGAACAGGTTAGTCAGGTCCTGATAGTTGGTCTCATTATTATAATGAGGTAATGACTTTTCCTGAGCCAGATATGACTTCTCTCTCATTTGTCGCGATATCTTTTTAGCCAAACGTCTCATATGAAAGAGTATAACAAACGATCCGAGAAACAGAATGACTAGACCTGAACCCCCAAAATAGATCAGATGCTTATGATTGAGGAAATCGTGAGCAATGCTTATGATTACATGAGATCGAGGAATACATATGGGATAGTAATCTATTTGAGACCAATTACCGTCGGGTTGACAGTAAAGTTCAGTTAGCGGGGCCGCCACCAGACTTCGGTTAGAGCAATGAATCATAATAGTGGACACATCGGGCAAAGCATTACCGAATAGATCGAAGTCTTTGTATTCATAAGTGAAGTTTTCGACCAATTCTACCGATTGCTTACAAGTGATTTCTGGTATACAAATTGGTGGCTCAGAGGGAATCCATAGACCATCAGAACCACAGGTTCTCATTGGACTGCCTTTCATTTGGTAACCCTTAGCGCAAACATATTCAGCAATTTTAGTGCCATTTTGTATTCGCATTTGATTTGTATACGAATAGAGAGGTATTTCAGGTTTACCGCAGTCATCGGTAATCAAAGTAAACACTTCTAAACCACAAATGTTAGCAATTTTATGGTTTGCCTTCAAATCAATGGTCACATTCTCATAGGGTTTACTTTCCGGACATTTATATACTATAAACTTGAGTGTCGAGTGTTGGTTGACATTAGTTTCTTCCATATGACATACCTGTCCGTCTGGTAAACTCAATGTTATTTCAATTGCTTGGTTTGGATCTATCGATGGATTGCCAATAAATGAAGCAATTAAGGCAATGTTGGAAATGTATTTGACATCTGATAAATGGAGTATCCATTTCTCGACATCCCTGAGCATTACACAAGTCATTGGATCGCTGTCTGATAAATACAAGAACTCTTGCTCTTCCAAGTTCTTGTTGGCCACAGATTTGTCGTCATTAAAGATATTAATTGAAGAGATATTATGGATGTGAGAACAACGCAAAGCAGTTGTATTCCACGTGTTATTACTGCACTGTATTACGTGATCCCGGAGTGTCTGTCCAACGGCCACACCATCGAAGCAATTAACAGTCAAAGTCTCGCCCTATAATATAAAGCAAATTTCAAAACTTATTAATTTGTCAAATAATTTATGTTTAATTTGTGTCATTACTTCTTCGTAAAARTCTTTACTGTTGATACTCTTCGACATGTATGGCATCTCTGGGTAACCGCATCTGCAATCAACAGTGACCAACAAATTATTTAAAATAATGATTAAAACAAATGTAAGCCACAAAATGTACACTTTTAGCATTTCCGCTATTTTATAAAACTATTGCTAATTTAATGCAAATTGTAAATTAGTAAAATATTTTAAATAAATATAATTAAAGGTAAATCATTGACTGGTTTAGCTCTCATAAAATAATTGAAGACTTTTTTTATGGCGTATAGAATAACATATAAAACTCTCATATAATAAAAACTTAGCATAACTTTTGTGTGAAAAAATCGATTTTTAAATACATTTGTGTAAATATTGTCATCAATTTCAATGTCGCTATCTATAGCTACTAATGATGAGATCGCGTTTAAATAAGTAATTTAAATTGTTTCCACAAATTATTTGACTAATGAATTATAATAAACATATAAATATATTTATATCGATTCGTTATTTTATATTTTTATTATAGTGATATTGTATTACATCATATACTGTATATGAATAATATGGTTTATATACAATACAGTAGATATAAAAATAATAATTTATATTTACTTTAAAGAATCCAATTTAATGATATTATATTTAATTTTTGCCAAGTTTATTATTTTTCAAAATTCAAAAAAAAAACTTTCTTGTAAATTTCTTATGAATTTTACGTTATAAAAATAATATTGTAAAAATAAAAATAAAATTTATTTAATATATTAATTTATATATTACAAATTTTAATTATCAAAATTATAATTAAAGCAATATATATAAAAGTTGGTATTGAATTTAATATCATATATAATAAAAAACAAAAATATTTAGGTATATACTGTATTTATAAAACTATTTTTGTTAAGAAATTATTTAATTATTACAGAATTTTTTTATAAATATATTTACATATTTGTATTTAAATCTAATCTATAAATTAATTTTATTTTGTTTTATTATTTATTTTTATATAAAATCATTTAAAAATTTTTTCACTCAAATTTTCAAGAAATTTTTTTATAAGAAAATTTCTATAAAATATTTACTTTTTTGACAACAATCATATATACACTATTTTTTTAGATAATTATTCAAATTATCGATTTAATATATTTGTTTTGTTTGTCTTTGTTTTATTCAAAGCTTATTTCACTGTAAATTTATATTTAAAGCAAAATTAACAGTTATAACATAAAAGTAATGAATTTATAATTATTACTAAATACCTGTAATATAATTAACTAATAGTTTATTTTTATGTCCAGTAATACGAAATATGAAATTTGTTAAAATGTTTATTTAAACATTAATTTAACATTAAGTGTTCAAATGTTTGATTTTTAAAAGTCTGAGTTTAGGATCGATTTTAACAAAATAATCTTAAAGTTTAAAAAATTATTTATTAAAATAAAAAATATACTGAATATTTACTGAGTATTTACTGAGTATTACCGATATTATTTTTATAAGTCACTCATTTTATTTAGAAATTAGTTATTATTTATATTGTAGATTAAAACTTGTATCATAAAATTTAGTAAAAAATATTTTTAGATTTTAAAAGTATTCCAATGTATTAGCAATACATTGTCAATTTTTTCAACTTTATCACTATGAATAGTAACTGTGACTATACCTGTATATTCATTAAATGCTTTAAATACAATATTTAAAAATATTATTTCAAATTTATGAATTTTATTTATTTATTTATTATTATAATTATTGATATGTAGTATAACAACAATTCTACTACTATTTTAAAAATTCAATCATATATTATTATTAAAATTATAATAGTAGCTATTACACAATTAATTGTTTTAGATTACAAATAAGCATAATAATATTACTAAAATATCAAAAATCACAAATTTTATTAATGGATAAAAATGATTTATAATTATTATTATTTATACAAATTATTAAAATATATATTTATAATATTATCATTATTTACAATAAAATAAACAAAACTTCAATTTATTATAAAATCAAAATAGTTAGACAAATAATATTTAATAATATTTATCTACAAAATTATACTATTTTAAACAATAACTATTTATAATATTTTTATTAGCATTTATTCATTGATTCAAAAACACGAATATTTGAGTATAATTTTATATATTGTGATCTTAAAGACATATTTTTATTAAGTCTAGTTCATATAGACCAGCAATTAATATTAAAATTAGAAATATAAATAAAATAATTTTTATATAATTTATGTAATGAACCTCGATAAAATTAAAATATACTGTAAACTGTAATATACTGTAAACTGTAATTGATATTAAACACAGCTATCGTCAATAAATGTTAGCATAAAAACTTTTTATTAAATATCTAACATATGAATCCAAATATAATATATAAAAAATGAGTAAGATAAATTCATAAAATTCATAGCTACTAATTTAGTTTATTTGTACAATTTAATTTTATTAAGTGCATAGACGATCATTAGATTAACATAATAATTATTACAAATGTGTCTAAACTAAATAATGTTAAAATTTTAAATAAATAAGTTCTCAGTCATACAACCAAATCACTGATATAGACGGTTAAGTAATGCGATTAATTGTACAAATAATACTGGTTTTTAAAACAATTTTATTTAACTTAATTTTTAGTTTAATTAGCTATAATGTATATTAATAGTAATATTATTTTTTAAAAATAATTATATGATATTTTATTTAATTAGAATTTTATTAAATTATTAATTATTTAATCGTGTGATTTATTTTACAACAAGATGTTTATTTAAAGATTTCAATAATTATTTTTATTTATTATTATTATCAATAAGTAAAATGTAAAGTTATAACTTACAGGTAAGTTCATATCAATTATGTTATATTATATAGTATTTTACTGATTTAAAAATACAATATTTATTTGATATATGTAGATCTTAACTATAGGTTAAGTGATAATGTTAATTTTATAATTTTAGGAATAGTAGTAAAAGTAGTTTTCTTTTAAAGAAACCTCAAATACCATAAATCTCATAAAAACTTAGTTAAATGACAAATAAATAAAGATCTAAAAGAAATAAATCAATCGTAATTTAAGACATAAAATACCGACAATTTCTTTGAAAATTTTGTCTAAAATTTGTTTTCAACTGAAAAATATTTAATTTAGTGTAACAGGACATCAAAATCCAGTTTAAATTTACAGCTAAAAACAAATTAATGGTTTAAATAAGTTAAGAGGTCTATAAACTATTGTATTAGTTTGAGTGCACTATTGGGTCCTTTAATTTAGTGTTACGTATTATGAACCTATCATTCATTGGAAAAACAAAACACATATACAGTTTATACGTGAATAAAATTAATTAAAACTTAAAGAAACTATAGTTTTGTTTTTTAAATATGTTTTCTTTAATAATATAGACTAAGTATAGGTATTGTTTTCAGCAAACATTCAGTAATAAAAAGTAATAAAAATAGTAGAAATACTGGAACCTATCCTATAATAAGAAACTGGTTTTTTTGTTATATGAGATGAGATTTGTCAGCAATATTTTTTATCGATAAAAACACTGTATATTTAGCTTTGAATTCAATGCAACCATTGGTCATAAATGCCGTTCCCATCATTTAAAATCAATAAGTTTTTGCCTGCAATCCAGTTCCTATGGAAACACATCTCAATTCATCTCTCTCTCTCTCTCTCTCTCTCTCTCTCTCTCTCTCTCTCTCTTTGCCTGTCATTTCATTTTGTATCAAAAAATGGAAGAGAGTTTTGGGATCTGTTTTTAGAGATGAAGTGAGAAAACAGAAAAAAAGAAATGAAATGTATAGACACTGACAGAAAAATATATGGATTTCTGGTAACTGAAAGAAATAGAGAGCATAGCTATTGGATATATTGTACAATATATTAGATATAAGAAACATAATAACAATATTATTAAAAGTATTAACACATAAGTGTTTAGAAATACGACAAAATGTGTTAAATGATAGCATTGAATGCATCAAACTATCAATACTTGATTACACAGACTGTTTGTCTCGACATTATATGAAAGCATACAAATAATTTATATACAGTATATATAATCCAAAATATATGAAAATATAGCAAAATGTACCAAAAATACCATCATTTATACCTTTCATATGTATGCAATTTAATCTTACAGTCTCTAAGATTAATAAATATATTTCATAATATTTATTAATAATGTGCTTAACATAAAACTTGTAGTAAAATAAGTACTTAACTTAATACAGTAGTTTTAAGACATTCTAACATTTATTAGTTTTAAAAATTAATTTTTTGACATAGACTTGAAAATAAATTGATCATTAAACTATCATTTATATCTATTATACAGTATTTGAACAGTTAAATAAACAATTATACTAAAATACATAGTATAATATTATTAATAGTAAATATATTATACTATATATAATAATAATACAACTAAAAAATTAGTTTTTAAATACTATTTTTGTTTTTAATAAATATTAAATTATATTTTTAATTTCTGATATAGATAGCCTTTGTAAAAATAAAAATAATTTTCACTGATAAAATAGATAAAAATTTTAGTCTAAATTTTAATAAATAAATATTTATTAAGCTAAGATTTTTATTTATATTGCTTAATATTTTGTAATTATTAATAATTTGACATATAGTAAGTTGATTTTATTATATAAATTTTTCACTATTTTAGTGAATAATTAAGTGTCCGCTTAGTATTGTTTATCGGCGGTACCGACTTATGAGTTGCCGTTTAATATTGTGTAAAAAAGTGGTCAGCAGTTTACAGACCCTATTGTCAAAATATTCCACTTTTTGTGATTAGAAATAGTAAATTATAAATTTAAAATATTATAAATTATTACATAATAATAATTTAAATATCAATATTTTATTATAAATATTAACAATTGATTTGTCAAATTGTAGGGATAATAAACTATTTTTTTGTGATTTCTATATTTTTTAAGATTAAAATCAATGTTTAAATAGTATGTTTTAGAGTCTTAATACCTAAAATCCATTCATTAAAAACTTTATATTTCTTTTATTACAATTGTTTACGAGTACTAAAGTTTACGTTAGTAATTGTTATAGTTTAACAATAATAATAATATATATGGTTTACAATAGTTTTAGTTGTGGGAGGTGTGAGCATTGTTGGGCTTATCTATAGTGAGAACAGGCATTTTTATATTTTAAATTTAAAGTACGCTTTTCATTTCAGGGAGAGGGAGTGAGACATAGGTTTTCAATAAAATATATAAAAATGTTATAAAAGATTGTGAGATCTTTGGCTGATATTTCTAATGCTAAACTTGTTTACAATACATCAAATGTGTTCACAGATTGAAAAAATTGACACAAAAAAAACAGGAATAATATTATGGCAGAGATTTTAGATTCTGACACAAATACTGTAGTGAGTGAGTGAGTGAGTGAGTGAGTGAGTGAGTGAGTGTTTAGTGAGTGAGTGACAAAGAGAGAGAGAGAGAGAGAGCAATATGTAAAAAGTTGATGCAATATAATCTGACAGAATTTAACTATAGTTTACTTTACATTTACAATATATAAAAAGCATGATTTTTGTGTTTTTTTGTGCCACAAAAATATCAGACAATGTTTTATAGAAAAATAGTAAATAATAAAAAATAAATTTGCGATTATTTTTACTTTTTCTGTACCTTTTGTATATAAATACTACAATTACTACTCCCACTCATATGACTTTCAACTGACCGGTGCTGGTATTGAGTGTCTGAAAACTATGGTTTGCTATTAGGACGGGTTGGCTGTTGATAGACGAGTGCTGCGAGAAATGACAAATAAAAAACACTTCAATAATATAGTGAATAATGTTATATGCAATACAATATATTGTTATAATATARCGTACATATATTATGTGTTTCATATAAATTGGCTTAATTTTGTATTAATATATTAAATATTGAATTTTGGTTATACAATAAATTTTAAAGTAAGTAGCAATTTGATAATTATTTTAAAATTATATATCAATATATAAATACTGTATAAAACATTTAAATATTAAATTTTAATTTTTATATTTATTTTAAATTTTACTAAAAATCATATTATTTAAATTAATAAATAGTAGATAATTATTTGATAGCGCATTAATCAATTATTGGTAGCAAAATTGCAAAATAAATTTTATTTAATAATTACATACAGAAAAAGTATTATTAATAATTGAGTTGATAGTCAAATAGGGGAAAGAGTGGTATCACAGGCACAGGCAATGGGCAGAGTTGGCAATAATAATAACGCTTTGATTTTGATTGTCCAATGAAAGCATACTATAATAATATCGACAGAAAAAAATAGATCGATAGCTGAGTCACACACTCTTTTAGTCTCCGATTTTTAGCTCTCTCTCTCTCTCTCTCTCTCTCTCTCTCTCTCTCTCTCTCCTCTGTCTATGAGGTAAAATACAAGTCAATTATATATACAGCAAATTATGTGAACAGTGAAAGAGCACTACATATATATATATATATATATATATATATATATATATATATATATATCTGTATATACACATAAACATATATACTGTATATATATATACATTCATGTATTTATAGAGACTTTATATTAGAAAGAAATTCTCTCAACGAATCACAAACAGAATGACTACTAAAGCAATCGATTTATTTGTTGATTGAAATTCTCAATAATATAATATTTTCTATACATTTAACTATTTTCTCAATATATATATAAATAAATATATATATATATACCATCTATACTTTTATATGCTGTTAGGGCTTAACATTTTACCCACAATTTTGTCAACAAATTTTATTTATTCACGTAATTGTCATTACGATATATAATTGATGACAAAAATTGTTGAACTTATAGTTTTGCCTGTTTTTCCATTGGATCAGCAAATAATGTTTACTTATTAGTATTTCTCTGTTTTCCACTTTACACAGTGAGAAAAGTGCAGCGGAAGCGCCACTGTAGAATGAGTTTTCAAAGCTAATGGACCAATGAGAGACGAGATTTTATGCGCAAAATTTAAAGCATGTTGGCGTAAAATTGTGAAAATTCAGTCGACCAATGAGAGTCGAGCTTTCAGGCGCACACTTATAAAGTTGTTTGTGCATAGCGTTGAAAAGTAAAAATTTTTCTCAAAAATAGTAATAAAAGTGTACACCAGATGTTGGGTCGAGTGTTTTTTGATTGATTTGATCGAAAAAGTAAAATCATTACTCGAAACTATAAGTCATGTGATGTTTTTGTTGATGGAAATCGTTGAAAAGTAATAATTTTTCTCAGATATAGGAAAAATATTGTCCACCAGATGTTGGGTCGAGTGTTTTTTGATTCATTAGTTCGAAAAAGTAAAATTATTACTCGAAATTATAAGTCATGTGATGTCATGTGATGTTTTGTAATTTTGAAAAATGTTGAAAAGTAAAAGTATTTCTTATAAATAGTAATAAAATCGTACACCAGATGTTGAGTCATGAGTTTCTTGATTTATTAGTTCGAAAAAGTAATATATTTACTCAAAATTATGTCATACTTTATTTTGATAGCTTATTGAAAATTATTATTAAGTAATTAAATTACTTTTAAGTAACTAACACTAAAAAATTATTAGTCATATTTTATTTTGATAGCTTATTGGATATTGTTCTAAAGTAACTAAATTACTTTTACGTAACTATCTGTAAAAAATGATTAGTCTTATTTTATTTGATAGCTTATTGAAAATTATTATAAATATGTTTAGTAATTTAAAATAAATTTAACATTTCTTAAATAATTATTTTAATTCTGTCATTTTATTCAAAATTTTAATTACAATATTCAATGTATTATATAAAATTTTAATAAACAAATCCAAAAAATTATATAAATGAGTTTGTTTTATTTATTTTAGAAGATCTGTAAGAGTATGATTTACTATATAAAACATCTATAATTATGTTTAAAAAAGTTGAGAAAGTAATAAAAGTACTTTATTATATAGTAACATAAAATAAAGATATAAAGAAATACTTTTTATTTGATAGTTGTTGATTCAGTTACAGCTATTTTATGAAAAAATAAATAGAAAAAAGTAATAAAAATACTTTTTAGATAAGTTTTCTGATCTATTACTTCTAGATTATATTGAATTAATACCAATTCTTTAGATTAAATTATTTTTAATCATCTGTTGTCTTAATGGCTCATTTTGGCTATGTACAGTTCGTTAGAGTCAGTTTTGCTTTCGTATTCGTATGTTTGGCAAAAATAAATAATATCGTCAACATTGAGCAAAATTAATTTGCTCTCGTCATTCAGTGAAGTATTCAGTAAGTAGTCGTCACTGTCCATCTGAACTGATGGATGTTGATATAGGCGAGGTGTTATGGCATAGGCGTGCAAGTTTGTTTCATATCTTAATTTTGTATATGAGATTGCAATCAAATAATAGGTTTTTGTTTTTTCATCGACAACTATACGTTTCAATTTGGCATACATGTCAACATCGCCGACTTTATGTATATAAAAGTTATTACATTTTAAGTGAACATGTTTTAGACAAATTTCATTCAACTGGGAAAATCGTTGATGATGTTGTTTAGTGCTGTCTTTAATTTCTTTGATAATTTCATTTCCAAGTAATTCTTTTTCTTGATCAGAAAGCGTATGTAGTTTCAGGTCTTTCATTAAGCATCGATTTGCATTCAGTTTAAAATTTTCGTCACATTCATATCGATTTTGATCAGACAAGATACCTGCAGCCATCAGTTGGCAACTGTTTACCAATGTCAGGCAAAGTTGTTTATAGTTGGTTTTTTTAGCCTTATTAGTAAAGTATTGGTGTTTTCTTTCAAATCGATGAGTTGTATAATAGATTAGTGGTCCATATTCTTCAATTGCGTGTACATAATGAGTTAAATAGTGAAATTTGGGTGTAATTGTCTGGTCAGGAAAATACTTCTGATATGATTTAAGAAATTTATTGATACATGTGTTTAGATCGTTTAGAGTCTGGCGACTGATTCGGTATGAAAATATTATTTCTATGCACCGTCTGAGTGGATTGTAAACGTTTTTATATGCAGCTAAGTCAAATATAGATTTATCTAACAATTCAATAATAAACGGCAGCCGATAGAAGAATTCCAATTTCTAATATATAAAAACAAGTATTAATATTTCTTTATTGTAAATAATAAAATCGTTTATTAAAATAATTATGAAATTAGATTTACCTGTACAGCGATACCATCGACTTTCGGTTTTTTATCTGTCAAACTTTTCATACGGCCTTCGTGAAAGTAAACATCTTTTTCGATAATTTTTCTAAATTTTTTGCATTGAATCGTTGTCGTTATAATAACATTTGTTAACAAGTTATTCAATACTTTATCCAACACACCTTCTTCTATGTCGTGCATCAGATCTGGCGGACACAAACGAAACACATTGATTTCGTGCAATAACTTAGCAAAATAATGATTGTCTTTAATTCCTTTGTTTGTGTTCACTGATTTTTCTGAATCGAAATTTTCATAATCAATTGGCGATCTTAGTTCACTGTCATCATGTTTCTTAAATGGTTTCTCAGCCAATGTAATATCAGTAGCATAACAGGTTCGGCATATATGACCTTTTGAAAAGCATTCTTGCATTCCAAGCAACTGATGAACTGCTTTGTTGTCAGCAATAATGTGTGTAAGCTGTCCTTTTAGTTGCACCTTAGTCAACTCAATATCCGGCAAAACAATTTCAACTCCAGTCTCATATAGTTCATTTAGCTCCTGACAGATGTAGCGACTGAATAATTCTCGTAGATCTTCTTTATCGAAATCATATCTACTAACTAAAGTTATCAAATTAATTGATTCTCTAGTTGCCTGACAATTATAGCCCAGGTTGTCGATAGTAAAATAAACAGCTGTTAAACTTTGTGTTCGAGTACCACGTCGGGCTGGATTAACAATAAAATCATCGGCGTACAATTGAAGTCTCAGATATGGCTGTTCAGACTTAATTTCATTGTCTAAGATGTTCTCATTGAAAACTTTTCCGTCCCGATAGGATGTCAACCATTTTTCATCGGGTTGTTTAGCTAGTAATATTAAATAAAATCAAATTATTATAGTAATAATTTGTATTGTAAAAAGTAATAAAATTACTTACTTTTATCTGCCATCAATTGTTTGTAAGCACCAGCAATACTTAATCTGCGTTTCAATGTTTCCAGAATGGGAACATAATAAAACTGTTTTTTATCATTGCTACTGATAGCTCGAACAATTTTTGATGATCGTTGCTGCTGACATTCACTTGTTGATGCTAATGTCGATTGATTGTCTTGACTGAGTTTAGATTTTTGCTTCTTTGTTCCTTTGCTGCCTTTGCTACTACAACTACTAACTTGACTGTCCGTATCATCTATAGTTGCTGCTGCTGTGGTTGACCAGTCTTTCTCGTAGCAAACGTATGGAACAAATGTTGGTAATGCTTTGATTGCTTGTTGTTGAAGATATTTGGATTTGATGACGCAATAGAAATAGTTATATAAATCTTTATCATAATATTGAAATACTGGTTTGAATACATTGAGAAATTCGAGTCCCATTTCTATTGTTTTTCTTTCAGGTATTTGATGTTTCATTTTATTCATTAAAAGAAGTAAATTTTCTTTCATATTAAGTTTATCAATGGATTCATTTGATCTATTATCTTGTGAGTGGTTTTT